GACTTGACAGGATATTTCATTGCTTATTGCCCTCGATCAAATAAATCGATCTCGTCAAGATTCTGTACAGTGGCAAGATCGCGTCATGTCTTCTCTCCTCCTCTTTCTGCACATCTATACACAAGATTACTCCGTATTCTGTGACGGTTTGCTCTGTCGCCGTGCCATGCACACGAGCGAGGGTCGTATATGTATATATATATATATATATCTATATGTAAATATATATATATATATATCTATAATACAGTCTTGTATAGCAGTCATGCAACGTATGATACGTAACCATCAAGACCGGTGACCCTGTCGCTATGCCGTGCACACCGGGGTCGTGATATAGGCAACCTGTAGGATACGTACAATGAAGAAAGACTACCAGATATCGATGATACTCCATGTTTGCCCCCGAAATCCGTCGTCGATAGCAACCCACGCTACGCACGGACAAGTATTCGACTCACCCTGGCACCGGGGAAATTTCTCTTCACCATCTCCTACAGTAATGAGATGTTATTGAGAGTAGACTTGCATGATAACAGGGCAAACTAAAAAACAGGGCAAACTATTAGAGTAAAATTAAAGATTAATTTATTGTCTTTTTTTTTTTACAACAATAATAATAAAAGCTACATCCCTGAATGGTTCGCGTGGCCCCATTCTCCGAACCATGGTTTATTAAGAGTGAGATGCATGAATGACAAAACAAAGCTTGCTGCGCCGCCTGCTCGATCAATGTAGCGATATCCGACTCTCCAGGGAGAGAGAAGCATGGGCATGGGAGGTGTGTGACAGCAAAGAAAAAAAGAGAATAGAAACGGTGGGACGAGTGCTGAGAAGGTACAGCTAAGCGGGAAATTGGAATAGAGAGAGAGAGGGAGGGAGATGGGAGCCAAGGCTATCAGGATTCATGGGTGTGAATGGCTCGAGAGAAGCGGCCGCGTATCTATCCCCATCCAAGGGGGGGGGGGGGGACCAGAAGACAGAAGAAGAAGACAGAAGAAGAAGACAGAAGACAGGAGACAGAAGACAGAAGACAGGAGACAGAAAACAGAAGACAGAAGAAGAGGACAGAAGAAAAAAAGACAAAAGACAGGAGAAGAAGGAAGGCATGCTCAGTCGAGAGAGATGGGCAACCAGTCTCGATCCTCGGAGGGATGGGGGGAGCCCGGGTGTGCCGTGCACCGCGTACGGTGGGGGATGAGGTAGGCCATCTCGAAGTCGAGCTCCATGACGCGCCTCGACTCCTGGCACCACGTAAAGGTCGACAGGCTGCGCTCGCCGTGCTTGACGAGGCCGAGGGCGTCGAGCTCGGCCATGGTGCGCTGCCTCTCCACCTCGACGTCGACTTCCGCCGGATCCGGCAACGAGACGGGGTCGCCGGCGAGTGGCGGCCCAGCGTACGACATGAGCATCATGTGCCTCAGGGCAGGGCCTCTGACCGGCTGCCGCTGTCGGTAGGGGTCGAGGGGGAAGCGTCTGGTCAGCGTGGCGCAGCCGAGGCTGACGGGCACCACGACACCCCGTGTCCGTCCGACGAGGCCGAGCCCGGCGTAGACGGCCTCCTCCCTCTCCAGGACACCGGCCTTCTCCTCGTACACGACCTTGGCCACCATGGTGTAGCCGTAGCCGTCAAGCTCCAGCTTGGTCACCACGCTGCGGGCGCCGAGGTGCTGCCAGGGGCCGACCTTGGCGGCCCGCGACCGCTCGGACACGTACGGGCTCGTCACCGCCTCCAGCTGCCGCACCGCCTCGCCGGCCAGCGCCGCGCGGCTCAGCGGGTGGCGCGTCCGCTCCGGCCCGCTCCCGTCGGGCGGCCGCCGGTGCGCGCCCCAGTTGGGACAGAGAGGGTCCATGTCGGATCCGTCGCAGAGGCCCCGGAGGCAGGCCTGCGTGCAGTACTCCCGGTCCGACGGTCTGGGCAGCCTGCGCGTCCAGTCCTCGCCGAGCTGTCCCGCGTCGAGGGCGGCTCCTGCGCGTCCCCAGCCCCCGGTATCGACCGGCGATGCCACCCGCGAGCGTCCGGCCGCGTAGCTGGACGCCTGGCCGAACGGCTGGGTCGTCGTGCCGGACTGCCCTCCCTGGCTGGGTCTCATGATGGCGCAGTACGGCGACGACGGAGAGTAGATGTCTTGTTGTTGTCGCTGTTGTCGTTGTTGTCTTATGGCCGTCGACAGCGTAAAGTTGGGTGTCTGAGAACGATTTGTAGTGATGAGTATGTCAGACGAGCATCTGCCAGATGAAATAGAGCGTACAGTGTCGAACTCTCTCTCTCTCTCTCTCTCTCTCTGCGTGTATATATTATATATATATATATATGTGTGTGTGTGTGTGTGTTGTTTACTAGAGCAAGATGTATGTTCAGGTGTTCAGTAACGATGAAATGATCAAGTAGGAAGCAACGATGGACGATGCAATGTCAGCATCCAGGGCGACGGAGGGCATGCACGGTTCCGTCATCATCCTTCTCTTGCCCCGTGCTCCAGAAAGTTTATCCCTTCTACCTCAGAAGGTCCTGGAATCATCGGCATGAGGCTGTCGTGGCGCTTCGGCAGAGTTTACCTTTGCCCCCGTGGCTTTTCCCTCCTCCTAACCCTTTCCTTCATTGCGACGTGCATAGTACGGTGTTTGTTGCGCCTTGTGCTGTCGAATGACCCGAGTTCCCTTGTTCTCGTCCCTGTTCTCGCACGTTCCTCCTCCTTCTTGATGTGATCCCTTCCTTGAAGGTTTGTATATTCCATAGAGATATCATCCAACATTTTACCCCTTTATATATATATATATATATACATACATATACACATGCATACACATATATACACATATAAACACATGTATACCAGCATACTACAATCCATCCATCTGCTGCTCCCATCTTCTCAGCTTACTTTCCCGTCGCTCCCGCACCAGACATACTCTCTCCCGTCTGATCTCGCATCCGTGTGGAGGACCAAGACACCCCAGAGCTACTTGCTCCACGCCTCATACAGCCCCGTGATGTCCCCCTCCTCTTCCAGACACTGTCCATCAGTCGATGATCCCCCGATATGCTTCGACATCCCCTATGCCACGTTTCCTCCACATCCATCATACTGACACATGCACACCCTCATCTCTCGTCCCTCGTCCCTCATACCCTCCTACTCACCCACTCACACACGAACCCTCCCTCATCCCATACTCTCGGACTTTTCCTCCGGAGGCCCCTGCTAACCCTAACCCTAAACCCCCCTCCCCGGGGAGGGAGAGGGACAGAGAGCTCTTCTCGCTCCGCTCGCACTCATTCCTGCGCGTGTACGCTCAAGACTCCTCATCTATCCCAAAATATTCCCTCGGGTGATCCTGCTCACACCCGCTCACACCCTCTACACTCTTCCTCCGGAGGCCTCTGCCAAGGGGGGCCTCTCTGATCACTCCGCTCGCACCCGTCCTTATCCTCGCAAGTGCACTCGGACACCTCCGTTTCGACCCATCCCCCCATCCGGGCGGCCTGCTGAGCGCTCTCGCCGCTGCCCTCTCTCTCCCTCTCCCACTCGCCTAGACCTGTTCTCGGCTCTCCTGCGCTTCCTCTCCGGAGCTCTCCTCCCCTCGCTGCGCCCGCTTCCTCCTCTTACCCTTATTTCTGTCAGCTTTATTAGATCCATCCGGGGTCCCCCCCCCCTACCAGGTGGGACTCTTCTCACCTATCCCCTACTCTCTGTCAACTCTGCTAGATCTATCCAGGGTCCCCTACTAGCCGCACCTCTTCTTGCTACATCCGCTACCTTCTTTTTTCCCCTTCCCCTCTCCTTCTGTCAACTCTACCAGATTCCCTCCGGGGTACCCTTACTAGGCGGCCGGGGGGGGGGACTCCTCTCGCCCAGCCTCAGCTCGCACTTACACTGACGCTCAACTCCTCTATCCTAGCGCCCTACTAGACGCTCTCGGCACTGTGCTGAGACTCGCTTGTACCTGCACTCTCAACACTTTGCCGGGGTCTCTCTCTTCTCCGCTACGCTCGACTCCTTCCCTTTACCATCATCGTCATCATTTTTCATTTTTCATCTTCCTTTCCCCTCATCAGATTCTCTCCGGATACCTCCGTCGGGTGGGAAGCTCCTTCTCTTCGGGCCCGCTTCCTCCGTCTACTGCTCACTCTCTCTCCTTGACCGGATCACTCCAAGGACCCAGCCGGAGATCCTCCCAGCTGACACTCCGCTCTTGTACTTGCTTCGCTCCTTTCAATGCGAGAAGGCAGAAAGGGGGGGGAGGGGGGGGCACTTCTTGCGTTGATAAGAGACCATCTATTCATTCCTAGTAATACAACCAGATCACCCGCCAAGTTTATTCTTTGTCTCTGCCAACTCTCTCCTCTCCCTCTTTATTCTTCTTTTTTTTTTGTCTGTTTCCCAAGTTCCAACATCCATCTCCATGTTTTAACCTTCATCTTCCATCGTCATTGTCAAGACGAAGAAGAAATTTTGTTTTCAGAAAATAGAACAATCCGTGGCAGAAGAAAAAAGAAAACACTCATTCGCAGAGGATAAGAAAACAAATCAAAAAAAAAAATTTAGAAGAAATCCATCCCATTCTGTCCCTCGGGTCCGAGACGAGAAAAAAAAAGAAGAGCAGGAAAAAAGCGGGAGGAAAGAGAGAGAGCAGAGTTCCACCTGTAAAGCCACCAGGCATCTGCTGATAAAAAAAATATCGAATAATGTGTTCTAAGAGAGACGCGTAGGAAGAGGAGCAGAAATATGAAAAGATGACAAGTAAACATACATGCCTCCGGGTTTTTTTATACACACCCAACAGTTCAACAGAGAGACACGAAGAGGAGAGAAGAAGAAGAAGGAAAGGCATGCGACCGTAGCGAGGAGGGTTCCCAGCAGGGCCCCAGGAGGGAAAAGAAAAGAAAAAAAACCTCACGAGAGGCGGACGAATCATTCCATCGTCCCATCAGCAAGGGCCAGTCTCTGCTTCGCCGTCTTCGCCCTCTTGGCGGTACTCTTTCTTCCCGCAGCACCAGAGGGGGCACCACCGGAACCCGGCTTCCTGCCCTTTTCGCTGTCGGCCGGCGTGGCCGCACCGCTCTGGCTGATCTTGCTGCCGTCGTCAAAGTGGCCCTCTCCTGCAGATGTGTTAGCAATCTGATCCTCGACGGCGGCGTACCGGCGTAGCCCCACGAGAGACCCCCGACAGGAACCCCCGACAGGAGCCCCCCGAAGGGGAAGGCTGAAGAGTGCAAACACGGGAAAGATGAGAGTTSGGGGGGGGGGGGGTTGAAGGGTGAGAGACGTACCCTCATGATACAAGTCCTCGAGGCTAGACGAGGCCTCGGCCTTCTTCTTGCGGGCACCACCCTTGCGCTTGGTCTGCTTGTCGAGCTCTCCCGACTCGAGGAGTTCCTTCTCGCGCTTCTCAATCATCTCGGCCTGCTCGTCGTCCGCGAGCCACATGGCGATGTCGCGGTTCCTGTTTTCGGGGGCGCGACGGCCGGAGAAGTCAACGCTGGCGCCGCCGCCCTGGATGACGACGCGCTGGACCTCCTCCTTCTGCAGGGCACGCTTGCGGATGCGCTCCTCTATGGTGCCCTTCGTGATGAGGCGGTAGACGGTGACCTGGCGGGTCTGGCCCAGTCGGTGGGCGCGGTCCATGGCCTGAGAGTCGATGGTCGGGTTCCAGTCCGAGTCGTAGAAGATGACCGTGTCGGCCGACGTGAGGTTGATGCCCAGGCCGCCGGCGCGCGTCGACAGGAGGAAGATGAAGATCTCCGGCCGCGTCTGGAAGTCGTGCACCGTGTCGCGGCGGTCTTCGAGCTTGGTCGATCCGTCCAGCCGGCAGTACTTGAAGTTGCGGTACGTCAGGTACTCCTCCATCATGTCGATCATCTTGGTCATCTGGAAGTACAGCAGCACGCGGTGGCCCCCGGCCTTGAGACGGAACAGCAGCTCGTCCAGCTTGGCCAGCTTGCCGCTGTCCGTCACGAAGCGCTGCATCGACGGCACCGCAATGTTGGTGAACCGCTTCCTCTCGTGATCCGGCTTCGGCAGCATCTTGACGGGCGGGTACTGCGACAGCGGTATCCTGTTGCGCACCAGCGACACCTCCTCCAGCTGCGTCGGGCCGTACAGCGACTTCCGCATGGGAACGTTGAAGAGCACGTTCTCGCGCTCGATCACAGAGGCCCGGCCCGCGCATGACACCTCGATGGGCGGTGCCGACGCCCGCGGCCGGCCGGCCGGTTCCAGCCGCCCGAGACCCGAGTCAGAGTACGTGTCGGCTGCGACGTTTATCAGGCTGCTCAGGATGCCTTGTCGGGTCACCTCGGCGCGCGCCCGGAGCCTCTGCCGGTCGCGGATGCTGAAGAGGGCGTGGGCGGGGGTGAAGCCCGTCTCGTTCCCGTCGCTGTCGTCGTAGACGATACCCATATGCGCGAGACGGTCAGGCTTCTGCAGCTCGTCGGCTGCCCGGGTGAAGATGCTGCTGTGCGTAGCCTTGTACACGTCCCCGGGGCTGACGTCGGCGAAGCGCAGCCAGGAGAAGCCGCCCTGCTCCTCCTCGCAGCTCTCGCGCACATGTTCGGGCGAGAAGACGTTCATCATGTGGTCGAGCGCCTTGCTGCGCCAGCCAGCCCGGACGTTGTCGTAGCCCGGCCTGTCGAGACGGCCTCCGCTGCCGGACCCCAGCATGGACGGCAGGCTGTACTCGATGAGGTTGCGGGACGAGTAGCTGACGGCGACGTTGCTGCCCTCCCGGACAAACGATGCCGTCTCGGCAAAGTAGCCAAACGAGAAGGGCGACGTGACCGACGCGCGCTCGAACAGGTCCGGATGGTTGCACACCTTGCGGAACTGCATGACGAGGTTCATGAGCGTGCCCGAGTCCTGGTCGTCGCCCATGGTGGCCTTCTCGACCAGGTCGAGGATGTTGATCTGGTTGCGCAGGTTGCCGTAGTAGGCCCTCTGGCGGTAGGTCAGGTCGCAGAAGATGTCCTCCTCGATCTTGTCGCCCAGCTCCTTCTGGACGTGCTTCTTGACGCGGCGCAGCATGAAGGGCTTGAGGATCATGTGCAGACGCTTGAGCTGGTCCTCGTTGAGCTTCGTGTTGGACTGCGCATGCGACTCGATGTCCTTGGAGAACCACTCGCTAAACTCGTCGTGCGAGTCGAACAGCGACGGCATGATGAAGTGCAGCAGCGCCCACAGCTCCTGCATGTTGTTCTGGATGGGCGTGCCCGTCAGCAGCAGGCGGTTACGGCAGTGGAAGCCCAGCAGGCTCTTCCAGCGCGAGCTGGACGACGACTTGATGGCCTGGGCCTCGTCGAGGATCATGTACTGCCACTTCATCTTCTGGAAGTAGGCCACGTCCGACACCACCAGCTGGTACGAGGTGACGCAGACGTGGAAGGCGGCGTCCTTGCGGTACGTCCCGTGCTTGCGGTCCCAGAACTTGCGCAGGATCTTGCGGTCGCCCGCGCCGCCCCAGTACGGCAGGATCTTGAACTCGGGCACGAACTTGGCGATCTCCTGCTGCCAGTTGTGCAGGGTCGACGCGGGAGCGACGACGAGAAAGGGACCCCAGATGTCGTGCTTCTCGGCCAGGTACGCCATGACCGAGATGGACTGCACCGTCTTTCCGAGACCCATCTCGTCGGCCAGGATACCGTTGATACCCTGCTCGTACAGGTTGACCAGCCAGTTGAGACCCTTGAGCTGGTACTCCTTGAGCTGGCAGTTGATGAGCTTGGGCTGCTCGATCTCGACGTCGCCCAGGCCCGTGGGGTTCTGGAAGTTCATCTCGCCCTCCTCGTCCATGTCCAGGCCCTGGTTGTTGAAGTCGCGGGCCTTCTGCTGGGCCTCGGCGATGGCGTTCTGAGCGTTGGCCATGGCGGCCGCCTGCAGCTTGTCCTCGTCCCCCTCCTCAAAGGTGAGGTTCTCAAAGTCGGTGACCTTGCTGCCCAGAAGGCCCGTGGGCTCGGGGACGTCGATCCTCTCGCTGTGGTTGGTGTCGGCGGTCGGGGCGATCTCGGGGTTGTCGGTGCTCCGCTCAACCTCGTCCGTCTTGATCTTCTTCCCTATAAAATGAGAGTACAGTTCGGTCTGGGAGATGAGGAAGTTGAGCTTCCTCTTCTGGCGGGCGGCCTCGCGGTCGGCCTCCTCCTTCCTGGCGTTCTCGATCTCCTGCTTCTCGGCGGCCTTGCGCAGATCTCGCTCCTCACGCTCGTTACGCTTCCAGAAGGTCATCATGTCGCGCATGACGCGCTTGGCGCGGGCCTGCAGGTCCTTGGTGCCCTTGTTGGTTCGGAGCTGCCATCTCTTGGCCTCCTTGGAGGCGAGCACGGCCGTCTTCTTCAGGTTGGAGGATTTCGTAGCGCACGAGTCCGAGGCCAGCTTGAACGTCTTGTTGACGTCCTTGCGGGCGACGTCGCGCAGAATCTGGTCGTAGATTTGGTTGTAGCCCTTGGAGATGAATTTCTTCTCCAGGTCGGGCACGTCGTCAACCTTCTCCTTAGACTCCTTAGACTCCTTGAGCTCTTTCTTCTTCTTCTTGCCGCCGCCGCCGCCGCCGCCAGTGCCGCCGCTGGTGCCATTTTCCTTGTCGGCGTCGGCATCGGCAGGATCAGCGTCGGCGTCGACGTCGACGTCAATGTCGATGTCGGCGCCATCCTTGTCCTTGACATCCTCCTTGTCCTTGTCCTTGTCCTTGTCCTTGCCCTTGGTCTTGTCCTTGGACTTCTTGGCCTTGTTGGTGATCTTGAGGCGGACCTTGCCCTCGTCCTTTGCCGGAAGCTCCTGTCCGGCATCGATGGCGGCCTGAGCGGCCATGGCGGACTCCTTCTCGGCCTGCTTCTGCTCCTTGGATTTCTTGGGTCGTGAGCCGGCCTTGGACTTGGACTTTGATTTCGAGGTGGGGGTGCCGGCGGCGTTGCCGGTGGCGCTGCCGCCATTCTCCATGTCGGAGGCAAGGAAGGTGGACATCGTGCCGCCCTCGAGGTTGATCTCGACGTGCCTGGCGGGGCCCTTGATGCCCTTCTGCAGGATGTGCTTGGTCTGCTGGGCCTTCTTGTTGGCGCGCTCGGCATCGCGCAGGTGCTTCTGGCGCTCGGCCTCGTCCTCGGCGGCATCGGCGCGGGCGAGGGCGGCCTCCTTCTGCTCGAGGGTGACAGCCATGGACTTTTCGCGGCGGCGCTTGCGCTGCATATCCTTCTTGCGCTCCTTCTCGGCGTGAAGCTCCTGCTCGCGGACCTCGTTGAGGGCATCGTCGTAGAAGACATCGTCGTAGCGGCGCTTGCCGAGCTCGGCTTGCAAGGCCAGCTTCTTGCCGGCAGCGGCGGTGTAGTCCTGGCGGCGCAGGCGGTTCTGGTCGCGGTCGAAATCGATCATGAGCCTGCGGCGCTTGGCGGCGCGCTCCTTGAAATCCCGCTCGTCGAACTCGTCGGCGTCGAGATTGGCGGTGTCCTTGTCGATGATGATTTCTGATTTCTGGATCTTCTTCTCCATGTCGCTCGACCACGACCTATCAGCCTTGTCGGCCTTGTCATTCTTGGCCTGGCCGTTGGCCTGGCGCTTGGCCGAGGGCCGCGGGGTGGGCGACTCTCTCTTGATGGAGGATCTCCGAGCACTCTTGGAGGTGGCCTGTTCCCTGATATCCGAAGCACGACCCTTTGTGGACTTTCGGGGGGCAGCCTTCTTCTTGGGTACGCTGCTAGCGCGCGAGGGCGCCGAGGGTTCAGGCTCCGTCTCGTCGTCGCGGTCGAGCATCTCCTTGTCTGCCATCTGCTGCAACTCTGGCTCTGGCTCTGGCCCTGGCTCTGGCTCTGGCTCAGCTTCGACCTTGACCTTGAACCGCGCCTCGCCATCGGGCTCGGGGGCTCGCAGCTCAGGAACCGGAGTTCTCTCGCGGGGCTTCGGGGCAGGTTCGGCGCTGGAGAGGATGTTGGAGAAGGACATTGGGTCCGCAGAGCGGCTAGGAGTCTTGGGTTTCAATCAGCTTGATGCTGTCCGATAAAGCAACGAGCACAAGGATGACAGGGGAGGGGTGGGACGACGAAGAAATAGGAAAGGGATGATGGCTGAAAGGGAAGGTTCGGAGCAGAGCCAATGCAGAGGACGTAGCATGAATAGAGAATAGGGAATAGAAACGGATGGACAGTAATAAGGTGGTGACGACTTACGGTAGCAGGAGCCGCGGCTCGGTCGGACTTCAAGGGCGCCATGATGGATGAGGATCCGTTTGACATGGGAGTCAAGTTCGTCGCAGCAGCATACCTCGTTCCGGGAGACGAAGCGCGTTGCGGGTGTCGACTAATCGGACTGACAGAACCAACAGAAGAGGTAGGAGGAAGTGAATGCTGGTGCGGATGCGACAGGGGGCTGCGAGGAGCAGCAGCGGGAGGCTGATTGCTTCCGTATGCCCTTGGAGACGTGTAGTCACCGGTCCTTGCACCAGCACCGTTGTAGTAGGTCTGCTGCTGCTGGTGATGGTGATGATGATTGTCGGCGGATTGATTGTAGGCGTAAGGATCGCGAGCCGGTTGCTGAGTGTGTTAGTTGCCTGTCAGATGACAAGAGAGTTGTTGTGGACAAAGGGAGAGAAGAGAAGAAGAGAGAGATTGAGAGAGGGAAAAAAAAATGGGGTACGCGTTGATGGAAACGCGTTTTTGGTTGTTTTTTTTTTGGGGGGGGGGAGGGAGATGGCGATGGTGATGACTTTGATGATGAAGAAGGAAAAAAAGGAGTGTGAGAGTTGGAAGGAAAGAGTGATGAGAGTTTAGGGAAGAATGGAAATTAGGAACAAAGGCGGGTCGCAGGTTCGACGATGGGCAGGGCGGGAAAGAGAGAGAGGGAAAAAAAGGTGTCGTGTTTCGGGGGGGGGATTCGTTGTACGGGAGTAGTCCAAAAGCGAATATTTTGGTAGCGGATCCAGTGGCAAGTCAAACAAGTGGATGCAGGACAGATACAGAGATGAAGAGGAGTCAAAATGAGAGGAAGAAGAAGAAGACAATAATGGTAACAGAGAGGGAAAAAGACGAATGATGTTTTTTTTTCGGTATAAATGGAAGATATAAAAAACTCACATTCGGTGCCGTGGTCGCAGTCTGCCACGATGATTCCTCACCACCACGTCGGTCGGCAGGGGTCGTAGTCGAGTCGGTAGTAGGATCGTAGAAGCTCCTAGACGGAGTAGATCTGCTGGCGACAGGGACACCAACGACGTCGTGATGATGGTGGCGTTGATGTGTGTCGGATCCCTGCGCAGGGCCGGGTGAAGGGCGCAGGGCAGGATTGTAGTAAGAGGGTAGAGAATGCAGAGGCGACGGCGACGGCGACGACTGCTGGCCAACGCCACCACCAGCGTGATGATGATGGTGATGATGATGATGGTGTTGTTGCTGCTGCTGCTGTTGTTGTTGGCTCGATACCGCGGTCGGAGGAGGAGGAGAAGTCGAGGACAAAACTGAAGATCTAGAAAGTGGTGGGAGAGGAGGAGGACCGGTGCCGCCGCCTGTCGGCGAGGCCTGGTGAGACTGCATGTCGCGCGTGTTGGAGGTTGAGGGTGTGTCGCAGGTGATGCTGGTTTTGCGATTCGGCGGGATGGTTTCGTGTTGACGAGATGGTGGGGGTAGGAGGAGGGAAGATGGTGGAAAGAGAGTAGAGAGATGGAGAGAGGGAGAGAGAGGGAAGAGAGGGAAGAGAAGCCAAAGGGGGTGCCAATTGTGGTTTTTTTTTTCGGGGGGGGGCGTTGGTGGTGGTGGTGGTGGTGGTGACGGGGACCCTTATGCGTGGTGGTGGGAGAATGAGTGGTGGTGACCTCGTTGTTGTTGTTATTGTCGAGCAGGACGATAATTATTGGTTCGTATTATTACCGAAGAGGGGGGGATTACAAGGAGTATATTATCGAGTGTCGGAAGTAGAGCTATAAGTTGTTACGGCGTAGCATCTGTATCATGGCAAGTTATAATTGTCGCAGTAATAGGAGTAGTAGTAGTAGTAGTATCTCTACTGAGCATGACTGAGTATCGTGCTAGGAGCAATCTACTTCGCGGGCGCGCAATAGAGTGCAGAGTGAGAAAAAAGGGTACCATCGACAAGGTATTACGAATCAGCACCGCGAAAGAAGCCAAGGTGGAGGAGGATTTACCGGTACGAGAACTATCAGATGGGCAGAGCAGGGGGAGGGGGGGTTGCATCAGAGGTAACAGTCTCTCTCTTCTTTCTTTTTTTCTTCTCCTCAATCATGAACTCATCTCTCTGTTCAACACCTCTCATCACTTGCCTCCCACTCCCACCACCCCGAGTCTTCACTCCTCTCCATCTGATGGTCTGTTCCTCTCCTAGCTTCTCCAAGTCCGAGAGTGGGGATCATCTGGCATCACCGGGGGGGCTCTGGGGTCATCATCTAATAAATGGGGCGAACCATGCTGGCAGCTGCACCCACTGGCCCTTGGGCATTGAGCCACTGCCGCACTTGCTACTCGTACCGTATTCGAGACAGAGAGATTATCACCATCATCAGAAATATGAGATACAAAAAAAAAAAAAAACCGGTATGCATAGAATGGCCTGGCAGGTATTGATACTGCTCGTAATAGTAAGCAGTCCTTACGCTCAAGTTGACTCAGCTAATGCTACCACCCACTCAAGTCCTACTCACACTCCACCGTCTACACTACGGCTGACGTAAAATCCGTCGATGGCGTCAATCCCGTTGCAGGGAGGCTCACCAGCCACCAGTCGCAACTCATCAGAACCATCATCATTCATTATGATCCAACAATAATCTGTCTACACCCATCAGAAACAGCGATATGCAGATATTCATACTACTACATCAATAGCGACCCAACTTTTCCATCACTCTGTCTCTGTCTCTCGCATCCTCCCCCTCCCCTCCCTTTTCCCAACTGTCATGACCGCTCGCCCGCCCGATGGAAAGTCAGAGAACCTTTTCCGACTCGCAGTCTTCAGCCATTCACGCACACTCCTCTAGCGATCCCCTCGGTACTTACCTCTGCCCACGCACCAACCATCATCGCTCTGCATGCAGACTGCACCGTTATTACCACTCCCCGTCAATGCTCAGCAACTCGTATCGGGCAACAACTTTCATCTACCCAGTCCCCAAGATCCATTCATCATCTGACATCCCCGGAGACGCCGCATCGACGCCGCGCCACATTCAATCCCACGCATGGAACCAATCAGCCCCTGATACCCACTTTCCCCCGAATCGATGTCATGACTAATCCGTGAGGCCAGGGCCACCATGTCACGTGGAACCGCAAAAAATAAAAAAAGGAAAAAAAGAAGAGAAAAAAAAATACTTGACCTTCAGCCTTGTCCCAGCCTTTTTAGTTCGGACGTTTACACACAATAGTACCTAGTAATAATACTTGTACGGAGTAATCTGTACACACCCCACAACAAGAGATAAGTAGGCGGAAAAAGTTCTTGACATGGCAAACCAATCCATGATGGCCCGTAGACACAGTCTATAAATGGTCTTCTATCCTCGTACAGAGAGAGGAACCAACAAGAACAAAAGGCGAGGTCCAATCTCCCTGTCTCTCCAACGTCTCCGTGTGCTTGACCTCTTTTTCCCTGTTTTAGCCTGCAAGCATGCGCCTCTATTGGCAGCAGAGGAGGGACACATCTGTCTGTTGGAGCAGCTTGAGGTACCCCCATCCATAACCGTGCCCGTACCACAAGATAAAAAATGAACCCAGAACGCGCATCATCAGTATATCCCGTTCTATAAAGTAAAACATGCCCCTTTCTTTCAGGTCTGTTCTCTTCTTATAACAATCTCTCATTTTCGTAATCTCATCAACGCTTTCCTGCCTCACACTCAGACAGCTCCGGCCGATATCATCTTCTTGCGCAGGTAGTCCTTGTACTGTCCGATGCTACCGTCCCACTGCTGGATCGTCTTGTTCTCGCACACCAGGATCTGCTTGGCAATCTTGTCGAGGAGTCTGTTTGTCTCGTCAGCATCGTGTAAGATGAACAACGTGTATAGTGAAATCGAGGAGAGTAAAGAGAGTAAGAGGGAGAGGGAGAGAAGAGGGATGAGCGGAGAGGGAACGTACCGGAAATCGTGAGACACGACAATGACACCACCCGTGAATGCATTGATGGCATCAGCCAGGCTGTCAATGGTGGGAATGTCGAGGCCGTTGGTAGGCTCGTCGAGAAGAATCATGTTGGGCGAGTCAATGGCCAGCAGGGCAAAGACGATACGGCTCTTCTGACCCTCGGACAGGGTGCCCATGAGCGCCGTCTGGGCTTCACCCGTGAGACCGTAGCGGCCCAGCTGCTGTCGCCAGTACTGGTAATCCTGAGACTTATCCTTGTACTTGTCGCGCACAAAGTCGAGCGACGACTTGGTCAGGTCCAGCTGCTCGGCGCTGTGCTGAGAGTACATGCCGAGCTTCAGGTGCGTGTGGCGCGTGACGGTTCCGCCCGTGGGCGAGAGCTTGCCCGTCATCAGGCGGAGCAGCGTCGACTTTCCGACACCGTTGGGGCCAACCAGGGCCGTACGCGAGTCCATGTCAAAACCGAGGTCCAGGTTGCGGTACAGGTCGTCGGCCGGGTCGCCAGAGTATGAGAAGGTGACGTTGTCAAACGACAGGACGGGCGGCGGCAGCTTGTCGACATCGGCGAAGCGGAAGGTGAAGACCCTGTCGGCCGTGACGGGCTGGATGAAGCCGTCGGCCTCCATCTTGTCGAGGATCTTCTGGCGGGACTTGGCCTGCTTGACCAGGTTGGCATAGGTACCGGCGCTGGCGATGAACTTCTTGATGTGCTGAATCTCCTCCTGCTGTTTGTTGTACGCCTTGGTCTGGTTGACCTCGTTGTCGGAGCGCACCTTGTGGTACGAGTCGTAGTTACCACCGTAGTACTGCAGCGCCTTGTTGCGCATATCGATCATGTTGTTGCAGACGCCGTTGAGGAAGTCCATCGAGTGCGAGATGAGCACCAGCGTGCGCTCCCACTTCTTGAGATACTCCTCCAGCCACACGCAAGCCTCGAGATCCAAGTGGGCAGTGGGGTCGTCCAGCAGAAGCAGTGAAGGCTTGACGAACAGGGCCTTCCCGAGGGCCACACGCATCCTCCAGCCACCAGACATGTCCTTAGTTTTCTTGTGGAGAGTCTTCTTGTTGAAACCCAGACCCGTCAGAATGAGCGAGGCACGGGTGGCAAAGGTCGAGGGGTCAAGCTTGTCCATGTGCTGAAGAGAAGTGGTAGCGTTAGTACTTGTGACAACAGTCGAGAGAGGAAACGGAGAGGGGGGATGGGGAGAAGAGTATAGCTCCATCAACCACCCGAGGGTATACTCACGTCGTAGAGATCAATCAGGACAGGGCTCTCGGGACCCTCCTCCTCGAGCAGCTTCTCGGCCATCTTGTCAAGACGTTCCATCTCGTTCTCGGCCTCCTTGACAACCCATTCGAGAGCACCTAGGTCTGAAGGGGGGGCACCCTCGTTGAGCAGGTAGATGTCGAGGTGATTCGGGATGGGGAACTCGCGGGCAGCAATAGCCTTGAGGAGGGTACTCTTTCCGCAGCCATTCTCTCCCAGCAGACCGTAGCGACGGCCGTAGGACAGCTCCAGGACCGAGTCGGTGATGAGGACGCGGCCATGGAACACCAGGCTGACACTGTTGATCTTGACGTCCTTGCTCGAGGGAACTGAGGCCAGGACACCGGTGGTGACACGGTCCGAGATGCCGTATTGGTCTACCTGCGCGGCAAGCTTATCCACCTCGTCCTGCTTCTCGCCCGAGGTGGCGGGAGCATCGCCGTCGACGGCTTCGGCGTTCTTAGCAGCCTTTCCCTTGGCGGCCTTGCCCTTTCCGTCGGCGGCTTTCTTAGCGAGACGCTTCTCCTTGGATGCAGAGGGAGCCATGTTGGATGGTTTGTTGGTGGGGGTGAGCAGGGTGGTCTTAAGTCAAGCAGAGTAGAGGGGGGGGGCCGGGGGGAGGGAAGAGGACAAAATGAAGATTTCTTCTATTTGAAATCTCTCTCAATGAAGCCACCAGCGCAATGAAGAGCGACGGCACTTTTGTCCAGATATGGAGAGGGAGGGTTTTTTTTTTTGTAGGAGCGGAGGGGTTGGAGGGGTTTGAAGAGCCTGAAAATACTACTTGTGACAGACGTCTCTCGACGACTCACCAAAAAGTGACGGAGGCGGGGTGATTTTTTTTCGTTTTTTAGTGGGGTTGATATCAAAGTAATAGTGCGTTACTGTCTGACTTCACGGCTTTTACATTTACAGGCACCTTACAGGCACTTTACAGGCCACTTCACGGGCTCATCAAGGCACACGAAAGCATGGAGGCAAGGCAGGTCAGAGTGGCGTCCTGGTGGGGACTTTCTACTGATACAACGTAGATGGTCAGCATTAAATTAAGGCATCAATCATGTCCAAGGCATCAACTTGTCAGCCAACAGAATGGGAAAACTTTGAAAATTTTATATCGCTGTTAGTAATATTCGGCATACTGTGCTATTATCACTGCGAACTGTCTTCGACGCACTGTAATACTGGTGTCTCCGTGATGGACTTTCAATCCGTGCCATGTTGATATACTCAAATGCGATTGTAAATTGCGATGAATATATCTACACGTCCCATCATGCAAGTGTACACTACTAGCACTCGAGAGAACATTTCGATCCTATTTCCATTTCCATACTGCCAACTCGCAATCATCTCAAAGACGTGCAGTCACAGCCATGTTATACTCACTAGAACACACCAAATTCCTTGACATCAATAAAAGTCGGCAAAACAGCAGGGTAGGTGTCGGCGTTGTGCGTGCCGTCCATTCGATGGAACTTCTCAAAGAAATACGAGTAGTGACTGAGTTTATCTCACCCTGGATAGATCTCGACATGTCCCGTGTATTTCTCTCTCTCTCTCTCTTTTCCCCCTTCCTCCTGGACTGCGGCCGATTCCAGCTCAATCTTGGCCTTATGGCAGTACAATAGAGGACAGGCAAAGCTGGTGATGAACGAGCACTTAAAAGTACCCTCATCTGTTGCGTTCTCATCATGGCATTGCTTGTCAATCCTAAGACTCATGCGCTGGCCAACATACAATGATTCCACCTTCTCTCCCCCCCCCGAAAACATAACATATGATCTTCCGTACTCAACCCCTATCCTCCTCCCAAGCACTCTATGGCGTAGCGCCGGGCACTTATACGAGATATCCTCATTACCCGGTGGAGGCGCAGGCACTGATCGTCGGTCACCATGCAGGGGTGAATACGCTCGTGGTAGATTGCGCAGCTGCAAGATATCGCCAATTAGAGTCCATGGCGATGCAGATAGACGTGATGATGAAAGTAGGGATGAAGGATCCGCATACAACCAGATGGCCTGTATGGCAGTCACATCTGCCGAGCCACCTGTCCATCCGCAAGAACACAGCAGCCTTCCGGCACCACGTCATGTGCTGGCTGTTCCCAAGCCAAGTAACACCAACCACATTGTCTAGCATCACGCCGAGACCATGAGAGCCGTGCCACTGTGTCAGCCCCTACCTCTAACGACCCCAGCCCCCCCTCCCCAGCAAGGGCTAGTCGATATGCCTCTGGTAGCTGCGTATTGTGAGAAGCAGCCTGGCCAAGGACTCTTTCTTCCCCAAGCCATCAACCGAGCACTGCCTGAAACTCCATCAGAGGCTTATCAAGTCCCACGCCCTCGACATGCCCGATGGCCCAGTGCTTTTGCAGAAGTCGGGATAGGGGAGAAACAGCTGAGGGGCTGGGGCTGGTTATCATGCTGCCAGTCTCCAGTGACAACCTTGTAGACGGCAGAGACCACGCGCTCGACATCATGACGAGCCGGGCGATGGCGGAAGACGTGTAGGCTGTCCGGGTGGCCTCCGTGGTCTAGCTTACGGGAGAGGTTGAAGGTGGGAAAAGCAGGAAATCTTATGACATCATGATCAACGTCAGAGGAGCAAGATAGCAGGGTCGCGTCCTCGGAGGCTGTAGGTTGCACGACGTCGCGGTCCAGGCGGGACATGTACCTAGAGAGTACTTTGTCAGAGACGCCTCCATCACAGTCTTGGCCCTCATATTCTCACGGAGATGCAGTCAAGTGTCTTGGGTCTAGATCATACTGGTACTACTCGGAGAATGCGGGGTTGATGGAGTGTACACATGTGTGTAGCTTCGTCTCATGATTGGAAGCGCACATCTGGATCGCAGCCACCAAAAAAAAGGCATGGTATTATAATCTGTTTGTACTCAGCACGAGTCCGTTGATTTCGGGGGTGAAGCAGAATAAAAAAAAACGAAAATGCAAACCAAGGTGGGTGGGACGGGAAGGGGGGGGGGGGGGGGTAATAATAATACGGAGTATAATACTCGTAGTCTTGCAAATGGGAGGATTATACGGTTATACGGAGTACGGAGTAACACCAGTAATAAAATTACGTCGTATATGTACTGATTAAGTAATAAGGACGTGGTAATATTATCATACCACATGTTATTATGTAGGAGTAGAGATACATGTCAAAGTGGCGTGTAAGTGCCGGAAGAGATATCTGCTGACTCATCATCCGATAGGCTTTACGGGTAGGTTATCTGTACTCGTACACGTATTGATATATCGAGCAGGAGCATAACGGCTAGCAATGACAATACTAATAACGGCAGGAATAGAGGTCCGGCGAACATCGTGAGGCCGCGTGCAAGAAGAGGAAGAGGAGGAAAAAGAAACAGGGGAAGAAGAAGGGGCAGGAGATTGAGTAATACATAATACGGGACAGAGACGGCTAAGACCAGGGCCATCACCCCCCATTTGCAACTAGAGATTGGTCCCATTTCCTCGTACCACATTTTCAACACAGTGCCAAGCCTAAAAAGACTTGGCATTATGCTTGAAAACAGACTAAGACCCCTGATCAACGGTGGACCGTTACTATCGCGAATTGGCTCAAGACAGCACCAGATATTGTTAGTGAACCCCTGTCCCCAGGATCTGGGCCCACGTAACATGTCCAGTGTCAATAGTACGTAGCTTACTGTGAGGCTGTATTTAGGAGGTGCTTGGCTTGAGTCTCGAGGCCCCCCCCTCCCCTTTAGTGAGACGGCCTGGTGGTCTCGTTGGACGAATTTTCGTGCTTTATTTGAAGGCATTTGCTGCGCCTCGTTTCCGACGGACCCAGCTCTGCTTTGGCTTCTCTGTCTGAAGGGGGGTGGAGACGTCTGTACTCGTACAATACATACGAGCACGAGTATCGCGAATACTCTAATTCCTTGTGCTGTTGACCCCGTACACACTCGTACATGCAGCTCCCGTACTTGGACGCGCCAAGTCCAAGGGGCAGAGAGAGGGGGGGCGGCGCTTGGGAGAACAAGAATCAGTTCCATATTTAGAGTACGAGGAGCAGCTAGACTGCCTGTACAGATCTGTACAGATTACATGTATTCATGTTCCTTTCCCACTACCTTGTAAGAGTACGAGTAGAGAGCTGGTTCCAGACAATAATGGAATATTGGTGCCCGTCCATGGACAGGATTGCCAATTGACGTTACTTGTATCTGTCTGTGTACTCCGTAGACCGGGGGCGGAGGTATGAGCAGCCTCGGTCCTTGGCTGGGTATTAATATTATCCTTCTCGTATAATGCGAACAAAAAAAGGGTCCCATGTTGCAAGAGTGCCGAGTGATACTCGTACCTGTACAGATTACTATGCAATATTAGTCTCAGTCCCACATCCCCCTGTTGATTATGTCCATGTCCCTCACCGTGATCCCCGTAATATCTCTCTCTCGGCCTCTCTCGCTTTCTCCCTCCCCTTCTTTCCTCTCTTTCTCTCCTGAATTTCTCTAGTCATATTCTTAACAGGTTGATTTCTATACTGCTTTGGAGCCTATCCTCTTCGGACGGTTCTTGTTCTTCTTTCCTTCCTTCTTCTCTCGTTCAATATCTCTTTCTTCCTACTTTCGCCTCAAGGCTTCTTCAAAACAAACATCCTGCCCTCTACCTGGCTTATTGGTAGTCCCGAGACTGGTTGACTCCTTATCAACCTATTCATTTCACTGCTCTTCTTCCTCTTATTTTTTTTTCTGAACTTCTTCTTGGCATAAATCGCCGTTCTTTCTCGGAAAACAACACACCCATCTGAAAAAAAAAACCCCATCGTGATCATGCTCAGCAAGCTCGCAACGCTCGCCCTGGCGGGCACGGCGGCGGCCCTCCCTGCCATCCACATCACGGGTCAGAAGTTCTTCTACGAGAACGGCACCCAGTTCTTCATCAAGGGTATCGCCTACCAGCAGGACACGGCCGCCATAAGCGACTCCACCGGCGACTCCAAGGGCTACATTGACCCCCTCGCCGATGCCGACAACTGCAAGCGTGACGTGCCCCTCCTCCAAGAGCTCGGCATCAACACCATCCGCACCTACGCCATCGACCCCACGGCCGATCACACTGAGTGCATGAAGCTCCTCGAGGACGCCGGCATCTACATCATCTCCGACTTGTCGCAGCCCGAGCTGTCCATCCTGCGCGACGACCCCAAGTGGACCGTCGAGCACTTTGACCGCTACAAGGCTGTCGTCGACGAGCTCGCCCAGTATGACAACATCATCGGCTTCTTCGCCGGAAACGAGGTATCGGACGCCAACAACAACACCGAGGCCTCGGCCTTTGTCAAGGCCGCCCTCCGCGACACCAAGCAGTACATCGATGACAAGGACTACAACCTAGGTGTCGGCTACGCCACCAACGACCACCCGGACATCCGTGACGACATCGCCACCTACTTCAACTGCGGCGATGATGACGAGGCCACCGACTTCTGGGGCTACAACATCTACTCGTGGTGCGGCGAGTCCACCATGGAGAAGTCCGGCTACTCTGACTGGGTCGACTTCTACAAGGACTACAACGTGCCCGTCTTCTTTGCCGAGTACGGCTGCAACAACCCCGGTGGTGCCGCGAACCGCAAGTTCCAGGAGACCGGCGCCCTCTTCTCCGACGAGATGACCGGCGTCTTCAGCGGCGGCCTCGTCTACATGTACTTTCAGGAGGACAATGACTACGGTGTCGTTGAGGTAAAGAACGACAAGGTCACCAAGATGAAGGACTTTGACGCCCTCAAGAAGGCCCACGCCGCCGCCGACCCCAAGGGCGTCACCGAGGACGAGTACGATGGCGCCCACAAGCGCGAGACCTGCCCCGCCATCTCCAAGTACTGGAAGGCCAACTCGGTCCTCCCCCCGACCCCCGACTCCGAGCTCTGCGAGTGCGCCGTCGCCGCCTCCGAGTGCGGTGTCGCCAAGGGCACTGACGAGGAGGAGTTTGGTGACGTCTTTGCCTACATCTGCGGCAACACCGATCTGTGCCACGCCATCAACGCCAACGGCACCACCGGTGTCTACGGTGCCTACTCCATGTGCAACCCCAGCCAGCAGCTCTCCATCCTCCTCGGCATGTACTACGACTCCCAGAATGGCGCCTCCGACGCCTGCGACTTTGACGGCGTCGCCACCACCAAGACCGCCAACGCCGCCAGCACTTGTGACAAGGCTCTCGCCTCCGCCACCGCCCACAACGAGAAGGTCGCCACCGCTACCAGCGCCGTCGACGCCTCCACCGATGACGACACCGACGACGATGTCGACACTGACGACACTGACGCTGACGACGCTGACTCTGCCGCCACCATGGCTGGTGCCTTCTCCGTCGCCGCCTACATGGCTCTTGCCATCAGTGCTGGTGCTGCCATGATTGCCCTGTAAAAGATTTGAGTGCCCCTGTTGAATCCCCTTTTCACGGGTAGCCCCGTGTTGTCTTTTTTTTTTTTGTTTCTTGTTGTATATTCTTGTCAGATAAAAACAAATATATCTCCGGAATGGCACTTGTTTGATTTTTGGTCTCTTGTACATCCTGGCCGCTGTATTTCATGCTGCTCTGTTTGTCTCTTTTCTCCAACTTGGCACTGTTTGGTCCGAGTTGTAGGAGAGGAATTAGAGTGCCTCTGGTCTCTTCTATTCCTCCCCTTTTCCAATGAATCTGCTCAAATGGTATACGGACTAGTAAGATCTAGAGGGCCTTGTTGAAACGCAGAGTATCTTCCCATGTTATTCTCATGCTTCACCCCCTGATCTGTACCGCCAAGTGCTATTATCAGTGCATGTATTTTTTATGTATTTATTATTATTATTATAATTTTATTATTATCTAGAAAGAGACGGCTGCTATCGGTAGAGGCATTGCTGATCTCTAGTTGCCATTTCCAGACTGGGCTGTTAGTTTCAGCCATGACGTCAAATCATTGATGTGGGAGGAAGGCACATCCAGACAGAACACAAACACAAATGCTATCACCATCGTGAATATCCGTACCAGCTGGGACATCACGGGAAAACGCCCGTATACATACCGATATCCTCTGAGAGAAAAAGCTATGGGTCGGTCGACGCCTTAGAGAGCGCCGCCCCCGCTCCCGAGACCGGCAGTCACAAACACGATGACCAAATCACCCATCATCAGGGCTGCATGCGCCTTTATTCGACAATGGGCGATCAACCACTGGGCGGACGTGATATGGATGGCAGTCATCGGCGCAGCAAGTTTCGGCGTATGTCGAATCCTCCTTTTTGCCACCTTGAAGTGCCACCGGCTAACGATCACAGCTTGACAGGGCACCTATTCCGACAAAGCGAACGTTCCCCATCACGTTCGACACCGCGTCCGGCGACGTCGTGTACCCTGATATGGCGTACCCTGAACGAGGATGGCTACTTCCCTCATGGCTAGCGGGTTTCCTAGCACTAGGCATCCCGTTGACAGTATACTCGGCGGCACAGGTGCGGATGCGGTCGGTGTGGGATGCCGATGCGGCCATTATGGGCACGCTGTGGGCCGTCCTGCTGGCGACCTTCTTCCAGGTGGTAACCAAGATTCTCGTGGGCGGGCTGAGACCATACTTTCTCGACGTATGCAGGCCGGATGTGTCAAGCATAAGCTCCGCGGCGGGTGATGGCCTCAACGGCGTGGGGTTCAACCGCATCATGTACACGGTCGATGTGTGCACGCAGTCTGATCCCAGGCTTCTCCGCAACGCCATGACCTCGTTTCCCAGCGGTCACAGCGCCGCAGGCTTCGCGGGCTACGGCTTCCTGCACCTCTGGCTCAACGCGCGCCTCAAGGTGTGGGCCGACTACCGTCCTGCCCTGTGGAAACTCCTGGCCGTAATGATGCCCCTGTTCATCGCGTTTCTCAATGCCTGCCTCTTGTCTGTCGACGCCGCACATCACTGGTACGACATCGTCGTCGGCTCCATCATTGGGGTCGTCATGGCCCTCGCCGCGTACAGGGCTACCCATGCTGCCTTGTGGGATTCGAGGTACAATCACCTGTGTCTGCGTGCTCGGGAGGCCTTCATATACAACGCAGATGCAGATGTCGACTATTCGGGGCGCACGCTCACGGGCAAAGTTGGATGGGGCGACGACAGGACTTGGGTCACAGATGGCCGCGTTGTCGGCGTCGGTGGGAACTTTAGCTCTAGCAATCTTGGTGGCTCGCTGGGCCAGCAGGGGGATGGTGCTACTTCATTCCTTGTCAGAGGGAGAAGGGGATATGATCGAGATGGTAGGTATCCTGCTAGTATATAAGAGGTGTATCTTTATTCGATTACCAAAACTCGAGAGCCCTTCTTCATATTCATAATGAGTATCGGATTGGAAGAATCATTTGTCTTTAATCGCCGTTGTACTCAACCCAAGGGTCCTGTGTTATCACGGGCTTCATGGAATTGGTGGCTCATTTGCATCCCCGGAACAGCGTACAAAGAGATCTTCACAAAAAATCCAACTCAATATCCAGCTAGAATTCCCGCAAAGAGTTCGACTGTTTAAAAGATAAAGATACAAACAATATGGAAGAAGTGGAAAAAGACATGATCTTTGCTTCGGGCAAACTGTCGAAAGACTTCGAACACATGACTCAGCAATATTGAATCACGTGACTTGAGAGCTGTCGTGTCTCCCTGGCGCCTAATGGCGGACCCGCTACGTAGACAGAGATGATGCATGCACCACATCAACGACTCTTGTTGCCATTCAACCCACACAACCACCTCTATCAAGCCGAGCACCACACACAATATCCCCCCCCCCTCCTTGGCTCGGACAGGTTCCTAAGCAGAGACAAGACAGATCATCCCGAGCTCTAGAGGAGCTTGAGTTGCCAAGATGGTGAGATAGGAGTTCCCACGCAGCTTGCCCTGGTTGCGTGCTCGGTTTGAAGCTAGGGTCGTCTTTGCTGACAATCCATCGTTTTACAGGGTCAAGGCCAGTCTGGCATGGGTGGTGGACAGGATGGAAGGGACGAGAAGGACAAGAAGGTTCGTCTACTCCTGCTTTTTTTTTAATCTCCTTTACATCTTGTCGACGTCATTGAAGGGGGGGGAGGGGGGAGAAAGAAATGCTGACATGTCAAAAACTCATGTAGAAGGATAAGCCAAAGTACGAGCCGCCTCCACGCCCGACGACGCGTATCGGCCGCAAGAAGAAGAAGGTAGCCGGGTCTAGCGCGGCCCAGAAGCTGCCGGCCGTGTACCCGACGGGACGGTGCAAGCTCCGTCTGCTGCGCATGCAGCGGATCCACGACCACCTCCTGCTGGAGGAGGAGTACGTGGAGAACCAGGAGCGGCTGCGCAAGGCCAAGGCCGTGAAGGAAGGGTCTACACAGGGGGCCGACGCCGCCGACGACGACCGCCTGGCCGACGAGCGTGGCCGGGTCGACGATATGCGCGGCAGCCCCATGGGCGTGGGCACGCTCGAAGAGCTCATTGACGACGACCATGCCATCGTCAGCAGCACTACGGGGCCGGAGTACTACGTTGGCATCATGAGTTTCGTCGACAAGGACCTGCTCGAGCCCGGCGCGAGCGTGCTCCTGCACCACAAGAGCGTCAGCATCGTCGGCGTGTTGACCGACGACGCCGATCCCATTGTCAGCGTCATGAAACTTGACAAGGCCCCTACCGAGTCGTACGCCGACATTGGCGGTCTCGAACAGCAGATCCAGGAGGTCAGGGAGTCGGTCGAGCTGCCCCTCCTCCACCCGGAAATGTACGAGGAGATGGGTATCAAGCCCCCCAAGGGTGTCATCCTCTACGGTGCCCCCGGAACGGGCAAAACGCTGCTTGCAAAGGCCGTTGCCAATCAGACTTCGGCGACCTTCCTGCGCATCGTCGGCAGTGAGCTCATACAAAAATACCTGGGTGATGGACCCAGGCTGGTGCGACAGTTGTTTACAGTATGTTTCTCCTCTCTCTCCTACCCTCTCTCTCCGGTCTTTTCCCTCGTGATGTCAGCTCTTGACACAGATCTCAGGTTGCTGGTGAAAATGCCCCGTCCATCGTATTCATCGACGAGATCGACGCCATCGGTACGAAGCGATACGACTCGACATCGGGAGGCGAGCGCGAGGTGCAGCGGACCATGCTGGAGCTCCTTAACCAGCTAGACGGCTTTGACGACCGCGGCGACGTCAAGGTCATCATGGCCACCAACAAGATCGACACGCTGGACCCTGCCCTGATCCGCCCCGGCCGTATCGACCGCAAGATCCTGTTTGAGAACCCGGACCAGAACACGAAGCGCAAGATCTTTACGCTGCACACGTCCAAGATGAACCTCAGCGAAGATGTAGACCTGGAAGAATTCATTGCGCAAAAGGACGACCTGTCGGGTGCTGACATCAAGGCCATCTGCTCCGAGGCGGGCATGATGGCCCTGAGAGAGCGCAGGATGCGCGTCCAGATGACCGACTTCCGGTCGGCTCGCGAGCGCGTGCTCAAGACCAAGCAGGAGGGTGAGCCTGAGGGTCTGTATCTGTAATGTTAGTATGGTTGGTCTTGCCAGCTTACAATAGATGAGGCATCTGTGTGTGTTTTTTTATACAAGATGTACGGTACTCGACTCTAAGAGGTTCTGTGATGTGTAATTGATCAAGTACTACTATTACTACCAGTGCATTATGAAGACGTATGGAAAAGACGGAGAGCAAGATGAGCGCATCATTATCAGAAGAAACGGAAAGCACCAAGCGATGGCCCCTCATTTTCCAGCCATCACCACATCTCCTATATTGCCCATTACTCACCGACTCATTTACGTAGTGCATCAAACAGATAAAAAAAGTAGAAAAAGGGAGAGAGAGGGCGGGGGGGAGAGGAAGGGAGAGAGAGGAAGGGAGAGAGAGGAAGGGAGATGTTTAGAATGAGCCCCCGGTGAACTTGGGAGCAGGCTGACCATCGGTCGTGCCAGAGTTGCCGCTGATGCGACCGGTGGCGGCACCAGCGACAAGCGGCACACGAATATACAGCCACCTGGCGACGAGGAAGCCGCCGACAAGCCAGGCCCAGACAATGACGGAGGCGAGCAGCGCGGCCAGCAGGACGGGGACTATGAAGGCCAGGGCCACGCCCATCCAGAAGAGGGAGAAGAGCAAGGCAGCGCCCAGGGCGAGGGACAAGATTGACAAGGCGAAGACGGCAAAGGCGATGGTGAAGAATGACGAGACTACCAGTAGAGTGACGATGAGGGTCTGTTTTTTTGTCAGTTCAGTTCAGTTCAATCTACTGGTGATTCCTCCTCCTTGTGAAAAGGGAGATGGATGATTGGGGGGGGGGGGGGAGAGGGTTAGAGAGAGAGAGAGGGAGGGAGGGAGGGAGAGAGTTAAGAAGAATGAGTAGACGTACGAAAAAGATTGGTCGTTCGGATGCATACGTCGATGCGGTAGAGTATGCCCTCTCACGAGAGGGAGGGGGGACGACCCTGTCAAAGGAGCGTTGGGCGTACGATATGGCTGCGTTGGCCTTGTCGGTTACATTGGCGTTGATGCTGGTTGGAGCGGTGGTGGTGGTGGTGGAGTCGGTTGAGAAGGCTGGTTTGGAAGACATTTTGGCAAAGTTTCGATCGTTTTTTTACTTTATTCTCTCCTTGGTATTCTTCTAGATGTGATGAAGAATTCGGAGAGCAAAGAGGGATGGTGATGATGGTGATTATGATGATGATGGCGATGGATGGTGTGTGTGCATGGTGGTTGTATTGACGCCCAAGTCCAGTCCCATATAAATCATGATATAATCCACGGACAAAATACGTAAGTTGATCTGAATGTGGGGATCTCACCTCCTCCCGTGCCCTTTGAAGCTTTGGAGCTGAGAGCGCTGACGTAGCTGATAGATCATCCATCTTTCTATGCTGCGTGTCAGGTCAATTGGACTGGAATTCCGGTGACTCGTACATCCCTAGCTTTACTGACTGTGGTAAATGCTTTCTTTTCTTCTTTCTTTCTCCTCCTCTTCTTCTTCTCATCTCTGTCTTCCTCTCGTTTCAGACGGTGACGGATATTCTGTCTGCATTACCCATCACCGCGTCTACGGTCTGATACCGACTTGGCGTTGCACATGGCAGGAGATGCATATTGTTTCTCATCTAATAAACCCGACTTACTGTACTTGGGATCATCTTGCCAAGCAATCATACAAGCATAAGATGCACTGAAGGACATCGGGCAGTTTCAAAGTATCGCTACAGGGTAAGCGCAGCAGCGCAGCATGCCCAGGATGCACATGGATCAACGACGTTGAGCTATTCCGTTGTCAATGTAACGTTCTGAGCAGGCCACCAACTTTGGGGTTGGCCGATGAGGAAAAGGTTGGGGCGGCGAGTACGGGCACCTGTATGACTGTCAAATGTCCCTCCATCATCTCGATACCCGTGTGGCATGCTCGTTCACCGAGCCACGGCTGGTGCTCTGGGTGGTAACCGAGGTGAACAAGTTGTATTGGGGGTCGTCCTACTCATTTATCCCATCTACTGAATAGGAGAGTCACCACGTGTTTCAGGTCCATCTCCCTCGGGTCATGGCCCTTTTCTCCAGTTCCCTTCCTGAGTTTCGCTCCGTTCCCGAACCGTACGGGTGGCTTCAGCATACGCACTCACACCCGACAATTGCAGCTTAGCCAATACTGTATAATGGAGGATATGCTATCAAGACTGCCGGGGTTGGCAAGTCTCTACCCGCCTGCTGTCTTCGGTCGCGGCTCCGAGTAGGGCTCCAGCAGCAGACGGCATGTATGTACATGTACCTGTCAATATTGCCCAACCCTGCTCTCAGCCCACGGGCAAGATGCAAGTTTGCCCGACGGCCCGCACATCACAATCTGCTTCAACTCGACATGACACGTACCCAGGCTTCACCTTCTCCGTAGTACCCTCACCTATCTTGCGCGATGGCCTGCACTGCATGTGCTTGCGCCGGCGACGCAGCTGGACGATGCGGCTCTATACCTCCAGCCAGTCCGTGCCCACGATCCCATGCCCTCTCTCCGAAGCATGGCGACGGTGATGAGGAACCGGGGATCGCCTTGGCATAGAAGTACCCGCTATGGGTCTAAAGGACTGGGGGAAGAGCAGCAGCCGTCTGAGTGGGATCTGCATCTGACATTAACGAGGATGAGGTATTTCAACAGCCTGTCGGTAGATATGGGCTAGCGTAGTTTCATCATGTCATTCTTTCCCTTCTTGATCTTCTACCAAATGTGCTGGGGCGGGTCTTTCTGGTTTATCAATCTGCCTATACGTCCTAGTGACTGTTATGCATGATATATAAACCTCTGGCCATCCAAGGTCATCCTGTCACTACGTGCAAGGCAGGTGGGATACATATGCATCCACACGAGTTATTTTCGAGCCGGCGGTATAGGAGTGGAACGAAGAACCCTCTTCGCAGACGCAACGCCGATGGGGACTGCGCGTGTAAGTGGGATGGATACATGCAGTCGCATAAGAACGGCCTTGTGAGAATGTTCCACAGAAATGCTAGGACATGTCGAGCATTGCCTGCCTAATACCACGACGAACTCGGAGGAGTTCATGCGTCTTATCCCGTCTCTATCTTTTCGGGGTCACCGCTAAGGGGGGTGAAGGTTGGAGGATGCAGCTCTTCTATGAAGAAGTCACGGCTTCATCTTCCCATGTTTCTGGCCGAATTTGGAATTGCTTCCGCTCCAGGTTACGATACAGGAGCGGGCGATACGAGATACGACGTAGGAACGAAGGGGACACATGATAGAGAGCAAATGTGTCCTGTCTCGTCCGTGCATACGAGCAGAGGGCGCCTCCGTCTGCCGATGTCGATCTTAGCAGCGTGGACCGTGCTGATCGTATCTGATGCTTCCTTGCCGTATTCTCTTGAGTAGGCCGCTTCTGATATTGGCACTGTATCGGGTTGTGAGGTTGTAACCTGGTAATCTATTCCATCATACACCCGCACCAGACACCCACCCGTCTACGTGCCACCTCGTTCACAGCATGGGTCGAATACTCCGCATATCGGCACTCGAGGTGATCGAGCCATACTGACTGATGTCACTCGGCCATGACATGCCGAATGCCTTCCCGCATTACGGGTCTTGCTACGGAGCACACGTAGTTCTGTTGAGGTTGAGCGTCCAGGTACCTGGTGTCATGCTCCTTACCACCCCGGCCATCCATAAACGACGGTCAGTAATCTTCACCAGTGTTGGAAATTGCCTCGTATGCAGGGTGTGTGTAAAGGGTCTTCATGGCGTGAAGATGGCTATAAATAAATGTATGGGCTTGACCCTCTATGGGGATGCACATCATCACCAACGTCCTGCCTCAACAGCTCTCAACAGCACAGAACTCGGCAAGGGCATAGCCGTCATCTCCAGAGCCAGCAACCCCTCTTCCCACCAGACGCATCTGTGCTGAGACGCCGACCCTCTACCAGATATCCGCAATGTTTGGCACGAGGGCGTCCACGGGCAGCACCCTTCTATCGCTACTGGCTCTGATTCACCAGGGCCTGGCGCACCACTGGTTCAACTGGCAGGAGTATGTCGGTTGCAAGTCTACGGGCTACTTCGTCCCGGAGGACGAGGCCCACCTCGTCGACTGGGTAAAGGAGCAGTACGCCCTGAAGACGCTGCTGAGGCCGGTCGGCAACGGCCACGGCTTCGGGAACCTGACGCTGTGCGTCAACGAGGGGGAGACCGAGCGCGACTCGTACATACTCAGCCTGAGCAACCTGGACCACCTGCAGGTGAACGACGACAGCACCGTCACCTTCGGTGCCGGTTGGGACCTGATCGACCTCATGCCTGCCCTCCAGGAGAGGGGCCTGCAGGTGCAGAACCTGGGCAGCGAGAAGGTGCAGAACTACATCGGCGCGGCCACGACCGGCACCCACGGAACCGGCAAGGACAACCAGAACATTGCCAGCCAGATCGCCGGCCTCCGCGTTCTAGACACCCAGGGCAACATCCACGCCATCGACGGCAGCACCCCGGACCTCGTCAACGCCTACAGCATCGGTATCGGCGCCATGGGCATCGTCGTCGAGGCCACCATCCGGGTCGAGCCGCTGTCCTTCGTCAAGCGTACGTCCCGGGTCATCAGGAGCTCCAGCACCAACACGACGGAGCTGTACGAGAGGATTGCCAGCATCTCGGACGAGTACGAGCAGGTCACCGTTTTCGGGCCCAGCCTCGACTGGGACGTCGAGAAGCAGGAGCTGGTCCTCAACGCCGACCTGATCATCATGTCCTGGGAGGACACCGACTACAGCGGTTCCCGCAACTGTTCCGAGAACTACTGTGCCAACCTGTGCGGACCGTGCGACCGCGACTTCTTCTGCTACGACTACAAGAACGACGCTACCTCGACCCCTCCCCAGGGCGTGTGCAACCGTCACTTCTACACCGAGTTCGAGCATTTCCTCCCGATCGAGCATCTTGTCGAGGCCGGCACCGAGTATCTCGAGCACGCCAAGTCGCAGGAGAAGCGCATGATTCCCTACCAGAACGAGGACATCTCCGTGACCAAGGACCCCGGCTTCCTGACCGACGATGTCACCGTTATTACCCGCTTCGTCAAGGCCGACGAGAACTGGCTATCACCCGTCAACTCGGACAACCTGCACAGCTCGGCGAGCGGCATCTTCTTCACGCTCGAATACGACTGGAACTCGTGGTACAACAACTATACGAAGATGTGGTTCTACGAGGACCTCGCCAGCGAGTTCATCTCCAAATTCGGCGAGAAGTACAACGCCCGCCCGCATTGGAATAAGATGATGTGGCATAACGAGACGTACACGGAATTCATCTACCCCAAGCTGAACCGGTGGTTGGACATTCAGGAGAAGATGGACCCCAACTGTCAGCTCGTGAACCCGTTCCTCATCAAGACTCTGGGCATCGATAGGTGTCGCGATGTCTTTGATAACTAACTAGACACCTACATTGATTCATCACATTGCGGGAGGGTCCAGGCTAGGAAGCTTACAGGCATGTATATATCACCATGTACATAGATGAGCCGTGGATGATGAGCAGGCCTCCCTGCCGATAGCTCAGCAAAGCCTGCGTTCTGCAGGTGTAATCCTCCTCGCCAAGCAGTGCACCGCTGTATTCACTGATGTATATATCGTTATATGAGATCCGATGAGAGGGGCCTCGTCTCGTCACACTTGGTCGGTGAACGCTCAAACTGAAGCAACATGCGACCTCCGCAGACCAGAGACGGATAATACAGATGGAGAATCTTTCATGAGACCAGAGCAAAATGCATGTGTTGTTCGTCGTTGCTGTTCTGGCAAGATGTAAATGTAAGCTGTGATCGAGGTTCGAGGTGGACAGAGCACCTCGTTGTAATACTATCAAAGCCTGACGTAAAAAAAAAAAAAAAGGCCTTGGCTCGGCCCATCTTCCCGCTTTGCATCTTTCTCCTCCTCCCCTCCTTCCCACCGAAAAAAAGCCCCCCCCCCCCTCCACCATCACCAACCAACCCCAAGACGCAAACTTCTCTTCCCAGGGCCGAATCCGCACAGATATTAGCCCATCATGTCTAGCACCCGCGACCGCCGCGTAGCAAAGGAGCTGCAAGACATCCAAGCCGACCGCGACAACTCTGGCGTCTCCGCTGTCCCCGCAGACGGCTCCTCCCTCAGCAGCCTGTACGGCTACATCACCGGTCCCCCCGACACACCCTACGCCGGGGGAACTTACCATATCAAAATCACCATTCCAGACTCCTATCCTTTCAAACCTCCCATCATGAGCTTCATCACCAAAATCTATCATCCCAACATTAGTAGCCAGACTGTTCGTCTCTCTCTCTCTCTCTCTCTTCCTTCTCTACCCCACCTTCTCCCCCGCCCGCAATATTGTCCGAGAATCGTCAACGGCTGATACAGTGCTGCTTTGAGATGATAGGGCGCCATCTGTCTTGACACCCTAAGCACGGGTTGGTCCCCCGTCCAGACCATCAAGACAGCTCTCCTCTCTCTCCGAATGCTTCTCGAGTTCCCCAACCCCAAGGATCCCCAGGACGCACAGGTTGCCAAGCTCGCCATGGACGACCCCGAGCAGTATGCCCGCATCGCACACCAGTGGGCCGTCAGCTACGCTGGTGCTCCCGACACGCATTTTGACTCGTCAAAGTACAGGAAGGATGGCGATCAGAAGGCTACGCCTGTAGGAGAGGAGCAGTATGTTTTCTTTCTTTCTTTCTTTCTTTTTTCCCTATCTGCCCTCCCCTTCTCCTTTCCATACTTCTTTCGTTTTCTTCTTCTCATCTCAACATACCCTCCCCCCCCCCGCCTCTATATATACACATCCACCCATCACACTTTCTAGATCGGAGGAAAACTGACAGAATTCACAACAGGTACATGGGCTACCACAAGAATCTCGTCGGGCGATTTACAAGCATGGGTTTCGAGGTGTCGGCCGTCGTCAACGCCTTCATACGTGCCGGCCTGCCCCGCAAGAACGGTGCCGACTACGAGCCCGAGGAGGCATACCTCGGTGACGTTACGGCTCACCTTCTCGGCGAGTCGTGATATCTTACAACGGGAGGGGAAAGAGAGACGGAGAGAGGAAGGGAACGAGGGGCAGATACGGGAAACGTGTACTAAATGGCATGGAGAAAACGGGATTACAGCATAGCAAATGGGTCATCATATCACCGTCTCCGTTCTGGAGACGGATATCCAACAAAGCTCCTGTCATTTTCTATCTGACACGGGGTCAATTAATGGCGTTTTTTTTTTTTTTTGGTTTAATATTACTACTACTACTACTACCACTACTACTACTACTACTACTACTACTACTACTACTACTACTACTACTACTACTACTACTACTACTACTACTCTACCACCACCACCACCACCACCACCACTACTACTAGCTAGTGTGCACGAGGGGAATCATGGGACTTGCTTCAAACAGTGGGATCCGCGGGCAAGCTACAAAGTATACACGGCTCCTACTCGAGAACCAATAGGAAGGTTGGGGGGAGACAAGTAGCACTGGGTCCATACAAGCACAAGAGTAGGGGGAGTCCATCACCGGATTGCCATCTCAACCGTATCGACGTTTTCTTCTGCTGGATAGACTGTATATATATTCCAGCCCTCCTTCTCTTCGTAACATGGCCGAGGTGCTCATCCAACCATACTTCTATCAGTAACACCGTACGGTTTCTTTCTTTAACAGAACAAAAGGAGTATGCGCAGAGGACAAGAATAGGAAACGCACTAGACAATATCCATGCCCCTCTCTACTTTCTTCTCCATTTTGCAAGACGACAAGAGGGATATCCGTCCACTCTTCCTTCCTGCAGACGCCCTCCGCAAAACCAAGGACAGGTGAGTAAAAAAAAAGAGACGATTTCAAATAGAGATTAGAGGGGATGATGACAACAGATTAAGGGGGAAAAAGGGTTTACAGGAGGTCACGGCGGACAAACTCGTCGTAGAGGGCCTTTCCGAGACCGGCGGGCGAGCGCTCGACAATGACACCGGCACTCTCGAGGGCCGCAATCTTGGACTCGGCACCGCCCTTGCCACCAGAGACGATGGCACCGGCGTGACCCATGCGGCGGCCCGGGGGAGCCGAGATACCGGCGATGAAGCTGACGACGGGCTTGCCACCACCGACAGTATTGGCGGCCTTGAGGAACTCGGCAGCGTCCTCCTCGGCGGAACCGCCGATCTCACCAATCATGATGATACCGTCGGTCTCGGGGTCCTCGGTGAAGACCCTGAGGCAGTCGATGAAGTTGGTGCCGCTGAAGGGGTCACCGCCAATACCGACGACGAGGGACTGGCCCAGGCCGGCCTGGGTCGTCTGGTTGACGGCCTCGTAGGTCAGAGTACCGGAACGCGAGACGATACCGATGCGACCGCGCTTGTGGATGAAGCCAGGCATGATACCGATCTTGCACTGGCCGGGGGCGATGATGCCGGGGCAGTTGGGGCCGACCAGGCGGGTCTTGGTCTGAGACTTGAGCATCGAGGTGATGCGGACCATGTCTGCACTTTCGTGTTAGGGAACCATGACTTTTTCTTTTTTCGCTTAAACGGAGCTCGACAGGCCTGGGGAGCCCCTCCCCCCCAAAAAAGGAGGAACGGCAGCAACATACCGTGCTGGGGGATACCCTCAGTAATGCAGACAGCCAGGGGGATCTCAGCCTCAAGAGCCTCCTCAATACCAGCGGCGGCCAGAGGAGGGCTAATTGCGAGCAGGAATGTTAGCTCCAGGTCGATCGGTAGGTATCAAGTATTTTTTTTATTTTTTTTATTTTTTTGCTTGGCAGCAAGGTAGAGTGAGAGGGAGGGAGTTGTACGGGACGAAGAGGGCAGTGGCGGTGGCGCCAGTCTGCTTGACGGCATCAGAGACGTTCTTGAAGACGGGGAGGTCGAGGTGAGTCTGGCCAGCCTTCTTGGGGTTCGTTCCACCAACAACCTTGGTGCCTATGATTGGGGAGGCGACGCTGTTAGTCTCGGTACATTTGAGGTTGAGATATTATCCGTTTTTCCATCGATCCGTACCGTACTCGATGGCCTGCTGAGCGTGGAAGCTATAGGAAAAACAGCAGTCAGTAATGAATGAGGTAGGGACGATGGCATAGTACTCACGTTCCCTGCTTGCCAGTGAAACCCTGGAAGATGACCTTGGTGTCGCCGTTGATACGGAGGTTGTTAATGGTCTGCGCATAGGGCGTGGTAGCCGAGCTGTAGGCGCGACGAGCCGTCTGGCGGAGAGCCGCAGGGCGGATCATGGTTCGCGAGATGGCCTGCATCTTGAATGATTGTATGTGGCTGAGGGGAGAGCGAGGGAAAGAGGGAAAGGGAAAAAGGGAGGGAGGTTGTTTTGGAGGTTTTAGGATGAATGAAGCTTTCAAGGAGAGGGAAGGGATCAGGGAGCGTGTACAATTCGAGCTCTGCTTGGCGCATCGTCAGTGCACGCTCTTAGCGTCGCTCGGGTGCTATCGGGGTCCACGGATCATGGTTTTTCCGTTATTGCGGTACCGTAATCGGACCTTTACTCCATATCACTATCTATTTTTTTTTCTCTCACCTATTCGGCCCTGTTCCGTTTCTATCTGACCCATCTCTGATCGCTTCCGTTTTGTCTAGCCTATCTCGTTCATTCCGTTTATCACGGTGACAAAGCAAGAAAGAAAAAAAAAATGCCCCACCAATCGAAGCTTCCTTATTCACAACACCGTGAGAGTTTATGTGCGTGTGTGGTGGGGTATATATTAATTTCTTCATCTTTTCAGATCCGACGTCTCTAACAGTGGCGTGCTCATCTTCAGCACACCGCAGGACTTGGACTGATCATGGCTACCGCTACTGCCGTCGTTACCTCCACCCTGACGGTTGGGGGCCCTAGGAAGAAGGCCGCCGCCGACTTGGTCCCTGAGAGTGAGCGTTTCCTGCGCGCTTGTGCCGACGTCGCCAACGCTCTCATCGAGGACCACGAGGCTACCAAGGATGGAAGGCCGCCCCGAGACATCAAACTCAACGCCCTGAGGGGTAAGATGTCAAAGAAGCACAAGCTCAAGAACATCCCGCCCTTGACAGCCATTATTGCCGCCATACCGGAGCACTACAAGAAGTACATTCTGCCCAAGCTCATTGCGAAGCCCATCCGTATGTTTGCCACTGCCAACGCTCCCATCCCTGCAAAGACGAGAGCGAGATTAACACACATTGAACAGGAACCTCGTCTGGAATTGCCGTCGTCGCCGTCATGTGTAAGCCCCACCGGTGCCCGCACATTGCCTACACGGGAAACATCTGCGTCTACTGTCCTGGAGGTCCCGACTCCGACTTTGAGTACAGCACCCAGTCCTACACGGGATACGAGCCTACATCCATGCGAGCCATCCGCGCAAGATACGACCCCTTTGAGCAGGCCAGGGGTCGTGTCGACCAGCTCAAGTCACTAGGCCACTCGGTTGACAAGGTCGAGTACATCATCATGGGCGGCACCTTCATGTCTCTGCCCGTGTCCTACCGCGAGAATTTCATCGCCCAGCTGCACAACGCTCTCAGTGGATACCAGACGTCCAACGTCGATGAGGCTGTCGAGGCCGGTGAGATGAGCAATGTCAAGTGCGTGGGCATCACCATCGAGACCCGGCCAGACTACTGCCTACAACCCCACTTGACGGATATGCTGAGGTACGGCTGCACACGGCTCGAGGTCGGCGTTCAGTCGCTGTACGAGGATGTGGCCCGCGACTCTAACCGTGGACACACTGTGTCCGCCGTCGCCGAGACTTTTTGCCTCGCCAAGGACGCCGGCTTCAAAGTAGTGAGCCACATGATGCCTGACCTGCCCAATGTCGGCATGGAGCGCGACCTCGACCAGTTCCGGGAGTACTTTGAGAACCCCGACTTCCGTACTGACGGTCTCAAGATATATCCGACGCTCGTCATCCGAGGAACGGGCCTCTACGAACTCTGGCGTACGGGGCGCTACCAAAACTACACCCCCAACGGCCTCATTGACCTCGTCGCCCGCATCCTGGCCCTCATCCCACCCTGGACCCGCATCTACCGTGTCCAGCGAGACATCCCCATGCCACTGGTATCTTCGGGTGTTGAGAATGGCAACCTGCGCGAGCTGGCTCTCGCGCGTATGAAGGATTTTGGCACCACCTGCCGTGACGTGCGCACCCGCGAGGTCGGCGTCAACGAGGTGAAGAACAAGATCCGCCCCAACCAGATTGAGCTCGTCCGCCGCGACTACACGGCAAACGGCGGCTGGGAAACGTTCCTGGCCTACGAGGATCCCAAACAGGATATCCTCGTCGCCCTGCTCCGTCTGCGCAAGTGCACCGAAAAGTACACTTACCGCGAGGAGCTGACGGGCCAGCCCACCAGCATGGTCCGTGAGCTGCACGTCTACGGCACCGCCGTCCCTGTCCACGCCCGTGACCCCCGCAAGTTCCAGCACCAGGGCTTCGGCACCCTGCTCATGGAGGAGGCCGAGAGGATTGCCCGCGAGGAGCACGGCAGCGACAAGATAAGCGTCATCTCGGGTGTCGGTGTCCGCAGCTATTACAGGAAGCTGGGCTTCTGGCTTGACGGCCCCTACATGAGCAAGTGGATCGATGGTCGTGAGCAACCAGAGGAGTACTGAGCTCGCACTCAGATGTTTGTCTACGGTCTCGCCACTTGTAATCGCATACGTGCAATCACCGGTACTAAGACGGCCACAATCTCGGCTCGGTCCAATTGGCCCCACTCACCCATCTCAACAAAGTCACCCCGCTTGTTTCGCAGGCTGCTTCGCACGAATCGCACCAGCGCTTCTTATTCTTCTCATCCTTGACTTCAGTAACGGACAAGATGACGGTTACGGCGCACGACTCGTCGCTCGACACATCACTTCGTAGCGTCACTTTCAATAATGGGGCTGCTGGGGGAATCTCAGAGAAGCTTATCAAGCCATGGAAACTACCGCCGCAAAAGACGTACGTTCTGCACAATGCCCGCGTCGTCGATCCAGTGATGGGGACTGTCTCGCCAAGGGTGGTGACCATCGCCGATGGCCTGATAACAGCAATCGGCGTTTCTGTGAAACTGCAGTCGGAAGAAATTCTTATCGACCTCCAGGGAAGGTACCTCTGCCCGGGTCTCATCGACTGCCACGTCCACATCACGTCTGTGGCGGGCGAGGCCACACTTGGTGGGGCTGGGATGGGGGGCGATCCGGCAGTCTCGTATCTACGGCAGCCGTTTCTGTGCAGACAGATGCTGGATCGTGGGTTCACGACGGTGAGGGACGTCGGGGGGGCTACCCTAGCTCTGAAGGAAGCCATCGAGGACGGCGTCTTTGCCGGTCCGAGGCTATTCATCGCCAACAAGGCTCTCTCGCAGACGGGCGGGCACGGCGATGTGCGTGGGTCACACGAAAAGTCCCAATCCTGCTGCGGCGGACAGTCGGGAATGCTGGGGGTTGTGGTGGATGGTGTCGACGAGTGCACACGAGCGGCGCGGGAGCAGATACGGACGGGGGCCGACTTTATCAAGATCATGGCTAGCGGTGGCGTCGCGTCCCCCACAGACCGTCTGACCAGCACGCAGTTCCGCGCGGCTGAGATCGAGGCCATCGCGGACGTGGCCAACGGGTCGGGAACATATGTGACGGCGCACGCGTACACGCCGCAGGCGGTCCGACATGCTGTGGTCAATGGTGTGCGGGGAATTGAGCACGGCAACCTGATTGACGAAGAGACAGCCGAGCTGATGGTCCGATTTGGTGTGTATCTGACGCCGACGCTCGTGACCTACGACGCCATGGCTTCGAACAAGTACGCGGGCTTCCTCCCGCCGACGAACCAGGCCAAGAACAGGGCCGTCCTGGAACGCGGGCTAGAATCACTCCGGATTGCCTCGAACGCTGGCGTCATCATATGCCATGGCTCAGACCTACTAGGGCCCCTGCAGGCCGAGCAGAGCCGCGAGTTCGCCATTCGCGCTTCTGTACTGAGCAGCACCAAAGTACTTCAGGGTGCGACAGTCAACGCGGCGAGCCTGCTGCGCCAGCAGAACACGCTAGGGCAGATCAGGGAAGGGTTCAAGGCGGATCTTCTGGTACTAGATGAGAATCCCCTGGATAATGCGGCTATTCTAAGCCACCCCGAGGATAATGTCCTTGCCGTCATTAAGGATGGGAGGGTGTATAAGAGTAGGTGGGAGGGGCTACAAGAGGATGTGCCCAGGTACTGATGGCGTGCACACGCCCCGTATCAATAAATCAATAAATCAATAAATATAAACATATATGTGTGTATGTGTGTGTGTGTGTGTGATAGACACGGTTCACGAAGAGAAGCATAGACGGAAGACGACGAAGTTGATCATGAATACGTGTATTATCTGTCCTAGTTGTGTTGTAATTCTGTATATATACGTACGGGTGAGTAGGAGTAAATGACCGTTTAATACGGCGGACAGGTGGCTACCGTCCCGGTAAGCTCCGTAATTTAATGCCGAGCTACGTCGCTGGACCCACCGGCCCCATGTGCACAGAGGCAGGCGCGACAGGCGCAGATGACCAGGATCAGGCGAATGACTCAGCCGACTTCAGCTAGAACTTGGCATTGAGCTTCGCCTCCTACTTGGACAATGTACGTGGTAGAGTTGGAGACCTGGACGTCTTCTTCTACTAGTGCTGTATCACCATCTACTACCACTGCTACTAGCGCTTCTACTTCTACGATTAAACGACAGCGACACCATATAGAATTTCCCGGGCCGCCGCACAACATGACGTCTATGCCATGATCTCTGGCAGCACTGACGGACCCGGTCCCAACGCGGCGGCGGCGACGACGACGGTAGTGGTGGTGGACAAGGGCGATTACGGCTATGACTACGACGGGCAACAACAACAACAACAGAAACAACAAGAAGTGCGGGATCGCAACCCGCGCAACAATGCGGCGACGGCAGCTTCAGCAGCGTCGGTGCGGGCCTTGAGCGCCCAAGTGGTGGCGTTCTATTTCCGCGCGCCGGCCAAGGCCTTCTTTCGGACGCGGGTAGACTACCTAGGCTTCGCACGGCAGGTGCACGATGCGCAGACGCGGCGGCTCCTCAAGGCCATGGAGGAAGGGTCGGCGTCGCAGACGCTATCGAGGCCGGGCTTGCTGTTCCGGCAGGCGTGGATGATTCTCCGGAGCACGACGCCCGGCGTGCTGACGTCGGCGGTGCGCCAGCAGGGGTGGAGCGTGATACCGCAGCAGGTCCTGCCGCCGCTCATGGCAAACGTGGGAGTCGGGGCGGTCCTGTACACCAGCTACCTGCACATACTGGGGGGCCTGCACGAGCCGTCGAGCAGGGCGACGAAGCGGGTGTACCCTCCACCGCCGCCCACGTCGACCTTCACGGCGGGGTTCCTGGCCGGCGCGCTGCAGAGCGTGCTGGCTGCGCCCCTGGATGCCCTCCAGGCCCGGTACGATCACCGGGATCTGATGGCCAACGGGAACGGAAAGAGGCCGCAGAGCATGTGGACTTTTGGCGCCGAGAAGCTACGGGAGATCGGCTTCAGGGGCGTGTTCGCCGGGTGGACGCTGTCGCTGGCAAAGGACAGCTTGGGGAGTGCCTTCTTCTTCAGCACGTTTGAGTATGTCAAGGCGCAGGGGTACTACAAGTTCGTGACGTGGTACTACGGCGACCTGGGAGAGGACATGGTCAACATGCTCGCTCGGAAGAGGCCTGCTGCCGGCGCCGCAGCTGCCGCAGCTGCTTCCGCGACGACGGAAGAGGAGAGCAGGCTGATACGACCCCACTACGCTCTCGAACCGATATTCCTACTCCTCGCGGGGACGAGCGCCTCTCTCGCCCAGCAGGTGTTCCTGCACCCCCTGACCCATCTGCAGGTCGAGCACTGGGACCGGCTGGAGGATCTGGATGCCGAGGTGACCAGGCTGCGGGAGCGGCAGCAAGCCGCCGCTGCTGCTACCGCCAGCGAAGGCCCCCAGGGCCAGAGAGCATCGGCGGCGGCGGCGGCGGCGGCGGCGAAGACAACCTCCTCGCCCTGGACCCTGTTTCGGACGTACTACCACGCTTACCAGGAGACGTGGGCGGCGTGCGCAGCCGAGGCCAGGACCGAGGGTCTCAGTCTCACGCGCTGGCTGTACCGCGGATTCTGGTGGAATTCCATCCGTCAGGTGCCCAGCACCAGCGCGGGGCTCGTCATCTTCGAGCTCATCAGGCGGAAGTACGGGTTTGGTACCGAGGAGGTCAAGATTGAGAAGGACGGGTATAGCATTCTGCTGAATTAAGCGGTACGGAATTACGGACAAAGATTATGCAAGAAATAGTTTTTATTTTTTTTCTGTTCTTCTTCATATTTGACAAGCAAGCAACACGACCAAATAGATGTATAAATTTTGTATATATAATGACCATTTCCATTCGACCCCCCCCTCTCTTTCTCTCTCTCGACGGGATAGAGCAAGGTGAAAGGTGAACATGGAAGAGGAGGAAAAGCCCCCAAGACTGACCAGATCTCGACCAAAGCTGAATAGCATTTCTCGCTCGGTCATGACGGACGAGCCCGAGACTGAAGTGACCACCTCAAGTCGTCATCATGTGCACCTCACCCCAGGATCAGTGCCCCCTTTCCTGCCCTCCCTTTCTCAACAATGGCTGCAGGCGGTGGCATGTCCCTGTCTCAGCCTCCTCTTCCTTTCTCTCCCTCGGGAATCTCGGGCGGACCAACGGATCTCGGCCCAGGGGCTCGGTCAAGCAACATGGACAAGAAAGGTTGGCTTTGGTGAGAGGAAACGTCACGATGATGTGTGTGTCCTGTCTCGAAAACAGGACAGACAACAGCGGGCTGTTTCTTCTCATACGTGCATGTACATTGTGCCGCTGGTCTGGGAGGGAGGGGGAGAAGGGGGCTTGATATGTCCCAGGCAAGAACAGGAGGTTGGTCTAGATCGCAGAGAACATCCCTTACTTTTCATGAGGTGAGACATGGCCATGGAAATTCTTGGGGATTGAATTTTTCCTTTTTTTTCTTCCCCCTTTATTTACTGGAAGCCCACAGCGGAGGGATCGCCCGTCAGATGTTTCTTCTCTTTTTTTTTTCTTTTTTTCTTTTTCTATATTGCGGGGGTCAGTTGCCACTGTCCACTCCTCTTCTCTATTCAACCTTGCTCTTCCGGTATATCGTTGATGTCGACGACTTTCACTTGTGAAGACATGATTATCGAACAACGAGTGACCGTCATATACTATTACTACTACTACTACCGCACACTAAGACGGCATTCAACAGCAGCCGCAGGATGGCAACGGGCACAATCGACCTGACAGGCCTGGAGAATGGGTCGACCAACAACCCGCTCGACACGGCCAAGGCCAACCTGCCGCTGCACATGACGGTGGCGGCCTTCACGGGGATAGCGTGGTACAACGTCCTGGAGCTGAACCTGGCGGTGTACCTGACGTTCCGGCGCAGGAGCGGGCTGTACTTTTGGTCGGTGGTGAGCAGCATCTGGGGGATAGCGGTGCACAGCTCGGCCTTCGTGCTGAAGCTGTACGGGGTGGTTCCGCAGTACGGCGTGACGGTGACGCTCATCACGCTGGGGTGGTACGCCATGGTGACGGGCCAGGCGCTGGTCCTGTACTCGCGTCTGCATCTGGTGGTCGGCGACGTGCCTCGGCTGGTGACGGCCGTGCTGGCCATGATCGTCCTCAACGCCGTGTGCATGCACGTGCCCATGACGGTGCTCACGTACGGGTCCAACTCCCCCCACTGGCGGGACTTTGTCGACGGCTTCCGCGTCATGGAGAAGCTCCAGATGTCCGTCTTCTGCGTCCAGGAGTTCGCCATCTCGGCTGTCTACATCTGGGCCACCCTGCGCTTCCTGGGGGGCCCTGTCTGGCACCGCCGCCACGTCCGCTCCGTCATGCTCCAGCTGTTCTGGATAAACGTCGCAATCATAGCCATGGACCTGGCCATGCTCACCATGGAGTACCTGGGGAGGTACTTCCTCGAAGCCGTCATGAAGGGCGCCATCTACAGCGTCAAGCTCAAGCTCGAGTTCGCCGTCCTCAACCAGCTCATGCAGATTGCCACCTCGTCCCGTAGACGCCAGCGTCGTGCCGCCCACCACCACCACCGTCACCACCATCACCATCAGCACCGCCGTCTTCACCATCTCGATCATGCTGCCGCTTCCGGTCGCCATGCCGGCCTTGAGGGCGATGGCCGTCCCACCAGCTTCCGCGCATGGCTAAAGCGCTTCGTCCCCGGTCCCGTGGCGACTACCTCGGACGACGACGTCAGTGACGACGACGATAACAACAACTTCATCTCGCCTTCGTTCTTCCAAAGCACAAACAACAACGACGACGACAACGATGAAGAGATCGCCAATTCCGCTCCTCCCCCCCGTCGTCGTCACGCTGTTTCGCCTCCGTCCCCTCCCGTTTCTCCTCGGACCGCACCCCAGAAACAGCTACGGCCGCAGCCGCAGCATCGAGCAGATCAGATAGATCACCACGGCGACAAGATCAGCGTCCATCATGAAGAGACGGAGAGGAGACAGCCATGTGATGTAGGAAAAAGAAAGGACTGTGACGACACAGTCTTCCCGTCACTGCCTCGTCCTGCCGCTCAGCAGTGGTATGCTGCGAAGTCCATGTCGTCTGTGCCGCCGCCGGCCTCGGAGGAACCTCCCTCTCCGCATCGACTTCCGCCCTTGCCGTTTTCCAACAGGCCCTCTGTGTCGAATCTAAGGAGACCAAGTGATGGAGAGAGCTTGACGAGTAGTGAGTTGGGGTTCCATGTCGTGGGATGACTCTTGATGACTCTTCTTCTGATTTGATTTCTCCCCCCCCCTTTTGTGTGTCCTCTTTCCTTCCATTTCACCTTCCTCTTTTTCTCTCCCTCTTCTTCTTTCCCCCCGGCGCTGCTCTCACATGTCTGATCTCTATTTATTTTACCTCCTCTTGCATCTGTTGTGTGCATTGTCTAGGCATTAAGCCCGCGTCAATGAATGAAACATGTCATGAAGAATGATACCCGCGTTTTATAGGATATACGATAGTTACGAATACATTTTTTGCTTGTTTTATCGCTGTACACGTTCCTATAATTGTCACCCGGTATGTTGTGTGGAGGCGTTGAAAGTACGTGTATATTGTTCTTATATCTGCAGGAGACTGATAAAGTCACTGAGATCTCCTGAAGTGGAGTCCTTCGTCATGAGACCCCGACGGCCTCTCGAAGTGGGAGTGAGAATCGAAGATTAGAAAACAACCCTCCACTGACTGATCCGATTTGATACAACATCCTTCCCAACCCAACAATTGAATACATGCTCATTTACTCATCACAATACCATCCGCCGACAGGCAGATGCACACAAAGACCAGAAAAGGTTGAAAAGAGCCTAGGACTTCTCAACGCTGGCCTCGGTGTGCTGCGCAACCGGTCCCTTGGAAAGCCTGGCCTCGAGATCGCCAGCCTCGGCACGGCGAGTCGAGCTGGTGGCCACGTGCGTCTTCCAGGGAGCCGTGCCGATGTACGGGATGCCGTTGGGGTCGTCGAACATGGCCTCGAGCTCCTCGAGCGTCTTGCCCGCCGTCTCTGGGAACAGGAAGAAGGTGTGGATAAACATGGCGATCAGGAAGACGCCAAAGATGATGTACGTCCGCCACTTGATGTTGGCCAGGGCCTCGGGCACGAACAGCCCCAGGGCCGTGTTGAAGGCCCAATTACCCGACGTCGCCAGGGACACTCCCTTGGACCGCAGACGCAGCGGGAACAGCTCGGGCGGGTAGGCCCACGATGTGGGACCCCAGGTCGGCGCGTACGAGCACACGAACAGGTACGTCGAGGCTATCAGGGCCTTGGCCGGTGAGCCCGACACCTTCATCGACTGCGCCGCCACGCCGCCGATGCCGCCCTCGATGATCTCGCCGTACGTCGCCAGGACGCCCGCGTTGATGAACATCCAGATGGCCATCAGGAGGGCTCCTGTCAGAAGAGGTCCGCGGCGTCCCCACTTGTCCATCCAGATGAGGGCGGGCAGAGTCATGACGACGTTGAGGACGTACTGGATCGACGAGGCCAACAGGGTCGAGTCACCCTCGTAGCCTGCCATGCTGAAGATGTTGGCAATGTAGTACACTGTTTTGGTTCGACCGCGGTCAGCTTTCTTCTTTCCTTTACTTCCGCCTTCGTATCTTGTCAACCCTCGACCACAGGACGGAGAGAGCTCTTACTCATGACATTCATTCCCGTCAGCTGGGACCAGATCTGAGTAAACAGCGCAGTTATGGTGCGGTGAATCATCCTGGGACGGAACAGGTCAAGGTAGGTGACGTCTGAGTGGCGGCGCTCAAACTCGCACATGTCCTTGATGTCCTGAAGCTCGGCCATGACGAAGGGGTGGTTCGGGTCACCCTTTCCGTGGACGAGGGTCAGCACGCTGTGGCAGTCCTCCCAGCGGTCCTTGCGGGCCAGCCAACGGGGCGACTCGGGCAGAGGCATCATCATGAAGAAGAGGAAGATGGCGGGAACCATCTGCAGGGCCCAGGGCACGCGGAAAGAGGCCGTGTTGTAGTTCCTAGAGTTGTTCTCGCCGATATAGTAGCACCCGTAGGACATGTAGTACATGATCAGGATGCCCCAGGTGATGGCCCACTGCTGGAACCCGATGAAGCGGCCGCGCTTCGACGGCGGCGAGATCTCAGCAATGTAAACGGGGACCTGTGCCGACTCGATTCCGACGGCGAGACCGTTGATCATGCGGCCGATGGCCAGCATGGGGATATTTTGCGAGGCACAGGAGATGATGGAACCGATGAGCCTGGAAGCAAGATATGTTAGCCAACAGATATTCTCTCTCTCCCTCCTTCCCTCCCTCTCTCTCTCTCACTCTCTCTCACACTCCCCCTTTCTACTGTCGTTTCTTCGACTCGTCCTCAACTTGCATCTCCGTCTTCTTGACATCTCATTCTCACGTGTACTTACCAGACGATGCAACCGATCATGATGGACTTTTTGCGACCCAAAATATCCGAAACGTAACCCGAGATGAGGGCACCGAGCCAGGAGCCAGCAGACATGGCAGCCGTGATGCCACCCTGGTGAAGAGGCTTGGGACCTGAGCACTGCTCGTTGTCATCGAATGGGGGACCTTTGGGGCCCTCATTGAAGTAGCACAGGTAGCTCTGCATGCCCAGCTGGGCAGAGAGGGACGAGATGTCGAAGCCGAAGAGGGCGCCCCCGACGACGGAGACGCCTGCAATGATATAGATGTTGCCAATCGCCATCTTGACCACGTTTTGTCCGTGTCTGCGTGTCACAGATGAGGATTGGGCCGTAGGAGAAGTCAGATTAGAGAGGAACTGTTCAGGAACAGACCGAGGACTACAGGTACAAAGGAGGGAGGGAGGGAAGGAAGGCGAGAGGCCATAGGGGGGAGGGGCGTATTGACATATATATATATATATATAACTATGTATGTATGTATGCATTCATACCTATGAGCGCAAGGAGAAATCATGGGCTTTCGGTGGCGGGGCCCGGGGTAGAGACATGCATACTTGTACTACTAATAGTAGTAGGTAGTAATACTTTGCGTGGGAAATATACTTTACAATCAGAAACAGGTCAAGAGAGCGCACCACCACGATGCACGATGCAGACGAGGAACCCCGGAAACGAGCAAGCGCGGGGGAAGACGACATTGGATAGGATTCGGACGTGTGTGGGGATGACCATGGCGTCCAGGCAGGATGTAACATTGGAACATGGGACATGAGTTACGAAGTGAACCACCACTGTAGAAAGCCATGGCCGCGTCCATCCATCACCAAGTCAGACTCGGAGCCAAATGTCATCATGCGACTTGCACGTTACAGCGTACTGCTCGTATACTTGCTAGCTGACCTCTCAAGCCCCCGTACGCCAGGGCCAGAGGGCGCAAGAAGTTGAAGCCGGTGCTTGCTCGGCAAGGCACGCCGTAAGCCATGACCAACAGACAAGAAAGGAGCCGAGCATTTGGCCGGAGCTGGAACCAACCAGGATAAGTATGCCACTCCGCACTTGGGAAAACTCGCCGTGTCGTTGGTGCGCCAAAGCAAGAGGAAGTAGAGCCTAAGAAAGAATGGTGTGCCGGTGTGTGGGGCGGCAATAAGCAGGGATGCTCCGACTTATTTCCCCAGACGGGGAAGAGATCCACCACTGGACCTTTGTCGGTACAATGGTATTATCGGTATCCGTACCTGTACTCGTACTCTGTGGGAGGGAGGAGAGGAGCCTAGGACGGACGCCTGGGGCTGAGACACACACTCTCCGGCGTGGAACAAGGCGATGGGCGGCGAGCAGTGATACCTGTAACTTGAAAGTACCCCGTCCTCCTCGTGATGCACCACCAGCCAAGCCAAGCAAGCCAAGCAAGCCAAGCAAGCCAAGCAAGCCAAGCAAGCCAAGCAACCCATCGGTCTTCGGCAAGACCAAGGCAAATGAGTTTTCCGGGGCCGCAGTGTTCTGACTGTCTCGTTGTTAGCCGGGAATAACATCCAGCGCCACTCCCATCCTAGAATCTAACTTGTCCCTTGGCAAGCCACTGTCTCTCTCTACCTGGCAGCGTATGCTAGCTAGTACGATAGCACAAGTGGGCGGACTGTCGAAATTGTAATCTTGAGTATTCGGCGTCACTCTTCTTCTTCCTCCCCCCCCCCCCCCYCTGGCCATCTTCCCTCTGCTTCGTCCATCTGTTTGCAGGCAGAATATATGCATGGCAAGGGGGCGGGGGAGGAGGAAGGGAGGGGGATCCGATAAATGGATGCTTCCGGAGGGTGGTGTGGGGATGAGAGACAGAAAAGTGCGGGAGAGTTGGTGGAGAGGAGAGGAGAGGAGGAAAAAATAAAGGAGGGTGGGCAGAGGCGGCCGCTGGCAATGGAAAAACATGCTGTCGATCTTTGAAAGTTGAGGAAGGCGCCGCGGAGCCATGTGATGGAAGGAGGGAAAGAGCGACGGAGGGTTACATCTCACCAATACCTGCATACCTTGTTTATCGCAACATGTTCTTCACGATCTATTCAATTATTCGTGCCAGTGTTACCGACAGCGTGATGGGTATATTCTTATATATAACATGTACATGGACGGCATCCTCGATACACGTATATCCGATGCTGCCACCCACCTCTACCTTTCCATCGCAGCCTCATCCACACTGAACTCCATGGCCGACTCCCGAACGCACTCTGCCATCAACTCCCTTCCTCTCGAGACACATGCAACTTTTTCACTCCACAAGCATGTAGTATTAGACAGGTGGAAAAGAAAACGAACTCAGTCCAACTGCTTCTTGCTCCGTATCTACCCTGTCCAACACTTACCTCTCCACAAAACAGCTCTTTCTTTTCTCCTAGTCCCTCCCCCATTCTCCCCCCACACCCCAGATCCTCCTGTTTTCCCTCAGACCAGGCCATGCGACGGGACCACAGAGTCCTACCCCGTGCCCTTGTACAAAGTCTACAGTACTAAACATTCAACACCGATCAGTAGAGATGGTAAATGCGATTCGTCAAAAAGAAAAGAGGAAAGTACCATAACTCATACGAGCAGTGACAACAAGTTAACAATGCAGTCACGAGTACATACATATACGTGGCCGTGCTCTTTCCCCGCCCTCACATCTTCCTCTTCTATTTCTTCTTTGACGACATTGACCTGAGCCACTCGTCTTCCACCGTACTGTCGTCGTACTATACATGCTTAGGTCGTCCGACCCCGGCTTGGCTCATGATACGTAGTACTGACGGCAGGGATTTGATCGGGGAGGAGGGGAAGGGGGGGGGGGAAGGTCTCCGCCCCTATTCAACCTGTCTGTCAATCAATGGGATAATACGATTACGATGTAGGTGGCGCGTGAATTACATTACATGCAGGCTCTCGCTTCGTATTCGCCCGAAATTTTTCAAGTCATGTCCATTTGATTTCCGTCATTCATCTCGTGGCCTTTTGTCAAACTTCTCCCAATGTATTTTATACTTCCTACCTTTACTCGATACAGGTTGAGCCTCGTCGAATCATCTGCTACCATGTGCCAGTGCTACAAGTACTACCCTGACGGATATTCCTGAGTCTCGACTCCAAACCTGGTCATCGTGACACTTATTCAAGTTCCACACTCTCCAACAAGTCAATACGTATTCTTGCTTGAGCTAGAATGGTGGTAGTAGCAGTCCCATAGAGCTCATCTTGACTCACTCTGCATTCTCTGTTTACTCCTGAGAGTAGTAATACGACTTACTACCTTGGTGTTCCAAGCACTACAAGACAGTGAGCACTGCCCCATCCTCCTCCTTCTCATCCTTCTCACCCTCCTCTGCCCATGATATGATCGAAAAGAGACCAGATAGTCTAGGGGAGCGAGCATGCGGCGGAAACGCAACAGACAGAATGGTGGAACGGAGCAGGTGAATCAGTGACTGGCTGGCTGGCAAAGAAGAAAAATAAGCTAGAAATAAACTAGTCCAGAAACAAGAGAGGCGGGGAAGAAGAGAAGGAAAATTTTTTCATGAGATATCTAGAATGCATGCTACTATGCCTGCTAGACAAACCGCACCTCGTTAAACAGTCCAGCCCGCACCTGCAAAAGGCTAGCCAGCTCCATGACAAATGACTGCAGAATCAACACGTTAGTCACGACATGCGACACCGATACGGTGCCATCCTCGGCGGCGGCAGCAGCAGACTCGTCCCCTTCTTGCCGCTCCCCGATATTCTGCCCGTCTTCGATATTGCCAGTGTCATCGCCGCCGCCGTCTCCATCCTTGTCGTCATTGCCCTCCATCTCATCCTCATCAGGCCCAATCATACCGCCACCTTTGTCACCGTCCTCCTCATCATCATCATCGTTATCCTCGATGGGGTCGAGCATGGGTCTCTTGGTATCAAACCTGAGAGGGATGGGTTCCAGATTGTCTCCCCCTCCGCCGTCACCGCCGCCCGCCAACGTCGAGGGCAGACCCACGCGTCTGGATAGTATTGTCTGGTCCACTGCTGCGAAGTCGGCCATTCGGCTCGTCAGCGTCTGGTCGTAGTGCTCAGACATGGGGTCGTCTAGGTCCATCATTCCTAGGATGCCCTCGCCCAGCCGGCTGGGTGACGCCGAGCGTGGGATGTACTGTGGTGGCTGCGGAGTGACCGTCTCGCTGCCGGCTCCGCGTCCTGCCATGTCCCTGCCGCCGCCCCGGCCGCTGCGAGGGATCGCAGACCGGCTTGGCGTGCCTAGCTCCGACAGCAGACGCTGAGCGAACCCTTCAAACGCCGACGGGCGCGCAGAGAGCGGCGATGCGCTCCGGGAAGTGTCCTCGCCCGGTGTCATCAGCTGATCGGGCGTGTTGCCCGTATGAGGCGACGAGTCCCAGGTGCCGTTGCCGCCACCGCCACCCCCGCCAGTGCCGCCTCCACCTCCACCTCTTCGTGGTGGCATGGGATTGTGTAGAATCATGTCGGCCGTGTGGAAGGCTTCGCGCCTCTGCTGTACGAGCTCTTCGAATCGCGGCACAGACTGCTTGTAGTTGGCCACCTGGTCGCAGAGGTGTTTGATAATGTCGAGGAACCGCGGGACCGACTGCTGATCCCACTCGGGGCGGCGGCGGCAGTTGCGAATGGCTTCCTCCTGATCGTCACCCCCCTCCGGGCGGGCATCAATCTCTTCCCTGCCGTCCTTGTTTGTATACCTGTAGGTACTTGGACTGCGCGACAGCCAGCCTTCTATGCTCATGTAGCCGCAGATGGCCAGGTCCACCAGGCTCTCCGTCACCGACAGGTTTGTCTCCACGGCGTTGAGGAAGAAGGTCTCGAGGAGGTCGAGCATGGCGTGGAGGAGCGGATCGTCGGGCCGCAGCGTGTGTTCCCGCACATCTCTCGGCTTGTTAAGGGGACCATTGCTAGTCGTGTCCGGTGGCTTGTAGTTGTTCTTGCCCACGTTTGGGGCCACGAGCTTGACCGAGCAAGAGTGGCTCTCCAGTCGCGATAGCATGTCCTGCAGTACACCGTCGTAGACCTGGTCAAAATTGTCCTGGCCCCCAACAGACCCGGCGAGGCTCATGAGATAGTCAACCTCTTGCTCATGGGCGCCGGCGGTGCGGCGAACCGTGTTTCCGGGGAGAATCTCGGTTTTGAGGAGCGTCATGACGGCATAGCGGTGGTGCCTCTTGAGAATAGCCGACACTAGCTGCAGCGTGACGTGGATCGTTTGCTGGTTGCGTGACCGCAGGCATGCGAGGACTAGGTCCACCAGGTTAAACAGCATGGGCGTGGCCGACGTGTCGGTTCTTGCCGCCGTCAGGGTGGCCAGGTCCATCGACTTTCTCTTCCTGGCGGCGCTGACGCTCGTCCGCGATTCGACATCCTTTGAGGGGGGCGATGGCGTCGAATCCGGTAGGTCAAGCAGGTAATGGAGGATAAGGTTGATCATATCCGGGTGATCCACCGCTTCGAGGATGCGGCGTAGATACGTGAGAACGGCCACAGAGGAGCCACCGTCGATGTCGGACGATTCAAGGAGAGATGGGTATCTGTGAGGTTAGTATAACATGCTAGACAAGCTTTCATGACGTGCAAATCATCCGATGATGAGGGTAGACATACAACAACTGCTGCAGGAAAATGACCTGGAAATGCTCAAGCAGCGTCGACTTGACATCGGCCGACTTGCAGTGGTTGAGCACATCCTGCCAGAACAAGAGGTGGGAGAGAAACGTTTCGATATGAGACTGGAACTCTGGGGAGCACGAACTGATGATCTCGTAGTTCGAAGACGGATGCTGGTAGTCGGAGAGGGCAAGGATCGGGGGCAGGTTATGGGGGGTATGGTCAATGACGAGCTTCCGGCTGAGCTGGCTGTAAAGAGCGCCCAGACCCGTGGCCATGAGGGTGGACAGGTCGCTCTCGACGATCCACTGCTCAAGTTCCGTGGAGCTCGAGGCCGCTTCGATGATGTACAGGAGCCCCGTACGGGCAAAGTCGCCTACCTTGCCCTCGTGATGGATATAATCCATAAGGATATAAAAGAGGGGGAAGTCGGCTCTCTGGGCACGACCAGTGAAGCGATCCCTGCTGCTGCTGCTGCTGCCGCTGCTGCCGATGGGCTTGGTACTACCTGGAACAAGACGCATGCTATTGCCTGCGGCATCGCGCTGCGTCGCCTTGAACCAGGCAGGCAAGATGGCAGGGTCGAGGCGGATCTTGGTGGTGATGTTGAAGGCTAGCTCGACAACACGGGACTCAGTGTCCAAGCCCAAGCGGACGCTGTTGGGCCCCGTTATCCGCACCAGCAGATTGGTCAGGCTGGCGGAGAAGGTAGTCTTCTCGACGAAGGCCTCCTCCTCGCTCTCGATGAGCGTGGCGAAGAGGAGGACGGCCTCCTTGATGATCCACTCATTGTAGGACGTCGTGGCAATCTTGCCGATGGGCACGTATATCTGACGTATGGAGGCGAACTGGATGCAGGGGTGGGGGAGGGGGCGGCGGCTTTCATCGCTGAGCATATTGGTGAGCTCCTGTAGGCGGATCTCGAGGGTCTCGGCAGCGTCGCTGTCGCGGGAGAGGTTGGACGATGTACGCCATGTTGCCTGGGCCTGAGTTAGTCAAGTTGCGACAGCAACGATGTACATCACTTGAGGAAGGGGGCTGAATGAGAGGAGAGTCTATACGGACAAGCAGGTTCCCGTATTCCTTCTCAAATCTGTGTAGACGCTTGGCTGGGTCCTTGGCCAGCTCTTGGGAGGAGCTCCCCGAAGAGAGGGGGCTCAGGAGACGAGACCACTAAGCGGTAGGGTTCTGCTGTTAGCCATGATGTCGGAGAGAGAGGAACAAAGGGCAATAGAAAGGCTGGCCGCCGTCATTTCGAGCCAAATGGGGGCCTTACAAAGTCCATGGCGTCTGTCTAGTATCCTTCACGTCATCTCAACATTCCCTCTATCTTGTAAAGGGTCCGACCAGCGGTGGTGGTTTGGCATGGCTTGACGTGTCCGTGATGGCCGTTGTCCCTCCCCACGCAAATTACGAAGCACGACGCATGATTGTGGCGTTCAGCCACAGTCTCGAGCCACGTGTGCCAAGCCTCGTCCGTCAGGCTGCCAAGTTACAGCCACAAGTGACTGCGAGTTATTCGCAGCGGTAGCATGAGCATTGACGATATCGCGAATTATCGATATACAATATTATGCTGCGGTCCTAGTATATGGTATATGCACTAAGGTACCACTACAGTGCTACTGATCACAGGGCATATCAAAGACGTGCAACACCGGTAGTAAAGTGCTACATGTACGAGTAGGATCAGACAACACACGTCTAAGACATTTATGTGGTAGAACGCTCTCGGTGGGGGGAGCTAGAATTCTCCAGTGGCTCCCTTGGCTTCTTCTTTAGCCGGCGCCTTGGCTCGTTAACAACCCCTCATGTCTCATCTGCCGCATCTGATTTTTATTCTTCTTCTTTCTTTTGCATGTCGCAAGTGTCACAATGCGTGCGTATACGTACGCGCACTTGGACGAATGGCAGGACGGGGTGTTATGCAGCTCGTGAGAGGGGTGGCATGCGTCGCCGGCGCGCGCGGGGGGGGGGAGAAGGGGCGAACCGGCACGAGATGGACTGCCGATGCGCTGTTTCTGTCTTATTTGTATCGGCATTTATTCTGTCTCTGTGTCAACGCTGCGTTCTATATCCCTTGTGCTTCCACGAGAGAGCATTGTATACCTATCTATACATGTACTCGTACATCGTACAGACACTGGTGATCTTCGTACGAGTACGGCTGATGGTGGGAAAGAGTGATGGACGAATACTCTTTCAGGAATATGTACGAGTAATGATTACTCAAGCACCATTGGCAATGATTGGACCATTATTTTCCTTCTTCCCACCACAGACGTACTCGTACAATAGCGTACTTGCACAGCGGACCCTATCAAGCGTGAAGATCGACAGCGGGGATAATGTTGATTGGTCAGAAAACGAGCCTCTGAGAACTCTGCTAGACAGAGCAGCGCCTGTGGTCAGTTCCAGTTCTAGTGGCCCAGTGGTTCAGCGTTGCTCTCGCGGTTGAGCCGATGGCCCATAGTGAGCTGCGCCGCTGTGGGACTAGCGCCAAGACCTTTTTGCTGCCTGGGTCATGTGCTTGCCTGGTTCTGCTTGACCTGACCGGGGGGGGTTTGTTTACGGAGTGGCTCACTGCGTTGAATACAAATTACAAAGGGGAAAACAGATCATGTTGCAGCAGACGGCCCGGAGAGAGGACGTTTGTTTTCGGGGCATGGTGTCATGTTTAAAAAGTTGATACGAGGAAGAGTGTCCCTAGTACGGAGTAGTATTACTCGTAAAGACTGGATGCAATAATAACCCTCCCCCACCCACCACCATATGGGGAATTGAATTAATACACCCTCATCGTCAAGCACACACACATACGCACACGCACACAACTGCCGTATTAATAGGGCCATCGCCAAGCATCCGACAATCGTCCCAAGCCCTTGTCGTATCCGAGCGCCGTGGTTGGGTAGAGACAAGGATCGGCTGTGCATCGCAGCAACCCACTCGAGCCCATCTCCAGCGCCTGTCAATTGTAGCCTGGGGGGGAGGGGGGGAGGGGGGGGGGGTTCTCCTGCTTCAGGTAGTGTCCCCCTCTCTCCTCCTCTTTAGGTGCTTCCTCCCCCCTGGGGTCAGAGCCATAGGGGGGGGGCCAAGCAGTCAAGGGAACCTATTAACGACGCCGGCGTCTGAGACAGTCCACTGAACTCAGTGAACCGCGACCCTTTCCAGCGGGTGCGCCGGGGCTCCCACCTTTCCGGCAGTTACAGGGCTCTTCAGTGCGTCTCCAGTATTCCAGTATTGGGTGTCGAGATTCCCAACTCTTCATTGCGTCCGCAGGCTCTTTTAGGTATCTCTAGGGCATCTTTAGTGGCGCTGTCCACTATTAAGTTGAAACATGGAGAACCCATAACTGTATGTGCATGTTGAGGAGTCGATAATGCTCCAGACTGCACATGGCGTATTCAATCGTACAGCACGCAACATTGAACGCGTTCAGTGATGAATCTGACAAGTATTCTCCATGTGTGAGCTCCACGGAAAATCTGCAGGAATTGACTGCTGTATCGACTGCAGCATCACGTAGTCGTAGTAGGGTATTGAATACAGAGTATGATCCGGGTCATTTAGCTCCATGTCCTTCTATTTGTACTCTGTACTGTACAGCGTATAACGGCGCAGCCAGTAGTACCATTACCGCGTACGCGCTGTTCTACTCGTACGCTACTCGTACATGTACTTGTATTCTTTACTCTCCTCCCAGTGCCCAGATACAGTCAGCACCTCTCTTAGTGTTGCATCGCTCCATCTCTCCCTCAAAGAGTCAAACGCCCCCGCCCGCGTTTTACAGTACGAGCAGGTATTCCCGTTCCGGTTTTTTTTTTGCTATCCACTTGGTCCTCTCCTTTGTGTGCAACTCTTTTTCTTTTCCGTTTCCAAAATCCCCATCCCTTCCTTGCCAGGATTCCAACTTTTCCGACTCACGGTCCGGCCAACTCTCCTTGACGACCTTTCGACGCCGCATCATCCGGAAACCGTTTTGCATCTTTCTTCTCCTTCTCTCCTGCCTTCTTTCAACCCCCGGTTGGTTGCATGCTACGACATATTACATAGCCTCAACGCTCGAACCGATCGATCCCTCTTGATACCGACCGCCGCATGACCATACACGAGCGCCCCCCGAACAAAACGACATCTTCCTCCCCCTCTACCCCGAAAACCTGTATATCACCACACCCTTCGACGCCCGTCCCATCTCGCTACCTTCTAGCCCCCAAGCTCTCGACCCACGTAGAGGGCCCCGGGCTTGCTGCGTAGTGAGTAGCTGGCTGCAGAGGGACAAACGTCGTTGCGCATGCCTCGTGCTTCGGGCTCGGGTAAGCGACACCCTGGCCCCGCTGGTCAGCGCGACGCGAGACACGATAATGGCCTTGTAGGTCCCGCTTCCGCCAAGCGCTCCTCGGCCAAGAAGAACAACGGCAACGCTCACCACCACTCTGACGCTTCCGCCATCGCCGCCGTTGCCGCTTCTGCTGCTCCCTCGATCGACTACGCCTCCGCTCATCAGCGGTCGCCCCTCTCGCCCCCTCGCAAGGGAAACGCTGCCTCCGTTAACAACGCAGCGACGGCAGCCGTCATCCCTCCGCCATTCGTCAATGGCAGCGCTTCCCCTTCTGCCGTCCCCAGGCAGAATGGCATGTATGCTGCCGCTGATCAACTCCCGATCGGTGGTGGTCTGGTCAACGGCTCCTCTGGCGCCCACGCTCTGAGGTCTGGTAGCTCCGATCCTGGCTACTCTGACGAGACCTCGTCCGAGTCGGGCGCCTCCCTCGTCATGCGCAACGGCTACGTCGACGCTGGCCATCGCCAGATTGACGTCAACGCCCTGAAGAATGTCGACGTGCATCGCGACTCCGGCCCGCTCGAGCTGGCCACCACCGTCCTCAAGGCCCTGCCTATGCAGGACACCCTGGCCATCCTCATCATTCTCATGCATGTCCCCGCCGTTTCGCTGACCTTCATTTACACCATCTTTGCCTTCCTCACCTTTGTGCCCCCCGTCACCACCAGCTCTGGCATGAACATCAACTTTGCCGAGATGCTCGATGGCATGGCCACCACCCCGGCTCCAGTCACCCTCCTCTGCATGGACATGCTCTTCGTACTGTTCTGGCTGTTCCTGTGGCAGCCGCTGCAAGAGGTCATGCTCGACCTTGCCAAGCCCGTCATCGCCATCACCCTTGGCGGCGGTACTGGCTCCCGTGACGGCACTTCCAGGGGCCTCACCACCTGCTTCATCTGGGTCATGCTGCACCACCTCCTCCGCGGCACCCAGTCTCACTGGGCCCGCCTAGTCCGCCACATCCCCGACACCTGGCCGATCCCGGCCGTTCTCCACGAGCCCTTCAAGCTGCATGCCCAAGAGTTTGAGGTCAAGGGCATCATCGCTTGGACCAGGAGCCTGCTCGCCGTCCACATACTCACCCAGGGCATTATCCGCCATGTCAAGGAGTGGTACCTGCGCAGGGAAAAGGTCAACGCGAACGTCAGTCTGAGCGATCCGGAGGTTGGGAAGCCAGTTTCTGGCAATGCCACCTCTTCCTCCTCCTCCGCCGCCGCCGCCGGTCCTGCCGATGGCTCCTCAGTAGGGGACATCGGTCTGACGACACCCGAGACGGAGCCGACGGTACCGCAGGGGCCCAGCTCGTTATCAGCAAGCAAAAAGAAAAGAAAGCAGAGCACACAGGTACGCCTGCAGCAACCGCTGTGGGCTGCACTTGCAAGCACCAAGATTGTCGTCATGAAAGAGTACGAGCTCTCGCACACGTCGCGCGAGCAGACGGGCTCCAACGCCACCGATGTCCACAACCTCGGGAACGCACCTTTCGAGCGGCAGCCGCGTCAGGTGTGGATATCATACGTTGGAAGTGATGAAGTTTGTTTTAGCACCAGTTTTTTCCCCGAGGATATGATGGATATGGATACGGAGACGGCGAGGGGAGGAGAGGGGGACACGATGCCCACAGCCACGAAGAACCCGGAGAAACCCTTCTTTGTGCGCGTCAACAACGCCTTCTGGCAACCCACACGCATGTTTCCCCTCGAGGCGCCGGTGGAGGAGATGGAAGAGGAGCAGCGAGGCACGCGGTGGACCGGCGACATCTACGGGTTGCGCCCCGCGTCAAAGTACGTCGTCGAGTTCGTGCACCGCCGGACGGAAGAGGTCCTCTTCAAGACGAGCATCCGCACGGTCCACGAGCCGCAGCGCGAGGACGAGGCCGGAGGCCACGCGGCAACGGCAGCGGCAACTGAACAGCCCTCGCTGCGGCCCGACTCCCCAGCCACGACGCTCCGGACTTCGATCGCCGCAGCCGACGCCAGGCTTACCGAAGAGAAGAACCAGCTCAAGTCGGCGCGCAAAGAGTGGAAGTCGCGCATCAACAACCTCAAGAAGGAGATTGAGCTCGCGGACAACCAGCTGGCGTCGGCCGGCAACCACGACGAAAAGTACCGGCAGAAGGTGCGGCAGCAGGAGACGCAAAAGTCGCAGGCCGAGCGCGACACGGCCGAGCTGGCGGACCAGCTCAAGAACTTTGACTCGGGCGCCGAGCTGGCGGAGCGCAAGAAGAAGGTGGAGCGAGCGTATGCGGCAAGCAAGAAGCTGTACGACGCGGAGAAGAAGGACTTTGAGGACCACAAGGCCAAGCTAGAGAATGAGGTGCGCGCCCGCCAGGTGGAGCAGTCCAACCTGGTCAGCCGGGTCAACAAGATGCGCACCCGCATCAACAAGGTGGAGACGGAGCTGGCCAACATCACCGACGCCAACAACCGTGGACTCGACGAGGCCGAGAGACACCGCCGCGAGCGCGCGAACTGGCAGGACCACATGGCCGCTATCGAGACAAACTACCGCGAGCGTCTGATGCACGCCAGGGCTACCAACGCTGCCAAGCTCGAGCAGATCCGCGTGGCCGAGGCCCAGCTAGTAGCTCTCGTCAGCGGCGGTAACGGCGCCTCCAGCACGGCCATGCTCGACTTCCAGCAGCAGCAGCAGCAGCAGCAGCAACCAAGCGGATCATGGAACCCCAACCCCGCGGCGCCGCCTCACATCCCTTCGAGCATGTGGGGAGCCCCGGAGGCCATCCCCGCCGTCGCAACGTCGACCCCCCATCGTAACCACGCAGGCCTCGCATCGGCATGGCAACCCCCGCCCACGGCACCCCCTTTCGAACCTATGGGTGCTAGGACACCCAGTGGTGGCATCAAGATGCGCGGACGCAGCTCCAGCATGCTCAGCGATGTTAGTGGCTTCACGCAGTCGAGCAACGAGGATGATGTTGGTGGCGCCTACCAAAGCTACGGGCCTTCCTCCTTGAACGGGAACCCCTGGTGGCAGTTTTCCTCCATGACGGGACCTGTCCTGCAGGGATTACATCAGGGAGGGAGCAGCGGCAGTGGGAGTGGGAGTGCGCCCAGGAGTCCTGTCTGAGCTGTTCTTTTTGCAGTTTGATACCGAGGGTCTACGTAGTCCTTGTTTGTATCATCTATAGGGGGAAAAAAAAACTTGAGTGTTCTGTAATTTCTATCTTTGTTTCGTAAGCCCTGCTATCTGTGATGCTCTCTGTATGATCGATCCATGATGCGCATATATGTGGCGTAGACTCCTGTGGCGGTGCTGTGGCTCATCATGGCCTTGGAGGTACAGCATTAATAGCCGGCGTCCATGTTCGCCGACGTCCTACCTCGGCACTCACAGAACAACCAACACAATGAAGCCGCCGAATGCAAAGCTACGGCATCAAGTCGTTGCCATATACAAGGGTACGTTTATCTCTCCCCCCACAAGCAGCAATCAGAACGAGTCCAGTTGTTGATAAAATTTGGGGGGGGGGGAGGAGCAAAAAGAGCTCCTCTACCTTGGTCGCGAGTACCCCCTCGGCTATGACTACTTCCGCCCGCGACTTCACAAGGCGTTCATGAGTCAGGCGGGGGAGAGGGACGCGGACAAGATTCAGAAGGGTATCGAGAGGGCCGAATATGTGAAGAAGGGTGAGTCTGAGCAGTCTGGCCCCGTGGGATTGTTACTGACTTGTGCAAATAGAGATTGAGATGCTGTAAGTGTTTGGGGGGGGAGGAGCTTACTGCAGGTTTTCATGGGTTGATCTGACTGACGGCTGGTAGGTACTATCTCAAAAGATACAGGACTCTACGAAAGAGATATGATGCCGATGCGTAGGGGGGATGGGAGGTTTTATCAAGGAAATCTTACCAAAGGACAAGCAATTGAAGTTGAGGGAAACATCCAGCATCATGAAGGACCATGTTTACTGCGCAGAAGGAAAGGAAGAAAAGGACAAGAAAGAATTTCTCATCTATATAACCGCTATAACGTAGATATCAGAGTACCAAAAACCACACTTTGCATATTACACATTTGCCCGTGAATATTTGTTTTCCTTTTTTTCTTTTTTTGTTGTTGTGCCCCCTTTGTAACCAAAGACTTCCTCATGAAAAGAAAAGAAAAGAAGGAAATAGAGATGACTATCATGAAGGAGAAAGAAACAACAAAGACAAAGGGAGAGGAAAAAGAGGAGAAAACCGTCCAAGATGATAAAAGAGCCTGATTACTTCTTTTTTGCCCACCAAGCTCCCGACTCTAGACACTCGCCCCAATTCGTGCCACCCTCATTGACGATGTCGGTCATCATCTTGCCTAGCCACATGTCCCACTCGTCCTGGCTCTTGCCACTGGCATCGCGCAGGATAGGTTCGAGGGCCACGATCTGGTCGACGAGGGTGATGAGGGCGGTCCTCCGGAGGGCAGCCTGGCCGGCGGTCAGGGCCTTGCTGTCGACGTGGGCGGGGGTGGGCGTGGCGGACCTGGCGGGAAGTCCAGAGGCGGAGGCCTTGACGTAGGACTTGCCGTCCTTCGTGACGACGCCGCCGACGCCCTCACGCTCCCAGCGGACCTCGCTGAGAGGCACGGCCACGCGGTGGGAGCCGAAGCCGCCGACGCTCTCGGACTCTTGCAGGAGGTGGTGGTTCATCATGGTGCACGGGTTGGCGATGAGGTCGCGGGCCTTGAGGGCGCGCGAGATCCACGCGTTGTACTCGACCAGGTAGGTGTTGAGCGGGGCGGATAGCGGGGTGTTGATGTTGATCATGTAGGCGCCCAGGCTGGCGGCCTTCTCGTGCTCGCTGGCCTGGCTGCCGATGGCCGACGGGCTGGGCACGTGCGGGCGCAGCATGCGGATGGTGTGGTCCGTCTCCCAGATCTCCAGGGTGCCGCCCGACTCGAGCAGTCGGACCGTCTCCTCGATGTAGGCCCCCTGCATGATGGGTGACACGACGAGCGACATGTCCTTCCAGAAGACCAGGTCGAACTCGCCGTCGGCGAACGGCCAGGGGAGGTTGCGCACGTCGTGCTGCACGTAGGTCCAGTCCATGTCGGCGTCCGGCCGGTTGTTGGCGTTGCCGGTCTCGACGCTGCTGTGGCACCCGGACTCGCTCAGCGGCACGATATCGAGCCCGGTGAAGGACATGCCGCTGTGCCCCCGACCTTTGAAGTACCGGTGGCACATCATGCTCCAGAACCCGGTCCCGCACCCGACCTCGAGCACACGCAGCGGCGGCTTGGCCGCCACCGCCGGGCTGGCCAGCGGCGCGCCGTGCACCTGCATCAGGAGCAGCGTCCGGAGTATCTGCCGGTGCAGCTCGGCCAGGTCCACCGGCAGCGGGTACGGCACGGACGCGTCGTTGATGTAGGTCCGGCCGTTCCGCTGCACGTACGGCTTGGGCCTATCGCCGCCGCCGCCGCCGCTGCCGCCCGCCCCTTCCCCCCCGGCCGCCGACGGGTCGGTGGACGTCACCGTCCGGGTCGACAGTGCCGTCCTCACGCTCGTCGACGACACAGATTCCGTCCGCGAGAATGACGAGCCGGCCGTCATCTGCCTGGACGACTGCTTGCCGCCGTCTACGTCGGGATACATGCCTGCATTCTTTGCCACCGCCGCCGGTGTGCTGTCCGGTGTCGTCTGCCTTCTTGCCGCTGCCGATTTCACGGATTTCCTGCTCCCAAACATAAAAGGTTCAAACGGTAGGAGGCCGGCCCCGGCAAGCGCAATGTTGGTCTCCGAGGCTACCCGGGCGGTCCGTACCGATCCGGCAACGCTGCTTCTCGTCGACGACGGCCGCTCTGCCCTGGACGGTGCTGCTTCTTGGTGTTGATGGTGGTGGTGGTGTCTCTCTTGCTGTCCTCTTCGCCTCCCAGGGGGGGCGGCGGTTGCGACGTCGCCGTGGTCGGAGTCGACGTTTAGGTCTGCCGCGCCCCGGGACGATCTGGGCGGTGGTGAAGTTGGAGGTCCCGCCGGAGAGGACGAGGACGACGAGGACGATTTCGTACTTCTCCTCAGGAGGCTGGCACCGCCTAACCAAGAACCCGAGGTGGAACTGTGGTGAAGTGGATAAGGGGAAGAGGGGGTAGAGGAGGTTGTCGGAGTGATGGGAAGAGGAGGGGAGTCGGGGGAAGTAGGATTGGGAGTAGCGGTAGTAATAGTATTGCTATTGCTACAATTACTGTCAGAGGACGACCAGGACGGCGACGGCAAGCTGTTTACCGTCTGCCGACGCCTGGAGTGGCGGGGGTGCGGATGTAGAGGGATGGGCGCAAGGCCCGTATACTCGGACATGGGCGATGGGGTGGGAGAGAGAGGAGAGAGAGGA